TGTGTGTGTGTGTGTTTTTTTCCCCCCCTCGCAAGTGAGGTCAGAAAGAGGATTGAGGCCGGGAAGAATCTGGAGAGAAACCGGCCACTCCCTGCAGCGGGAAATCTAGGCTGTAAGGATGAAAGCGGATTATGCTTATGACCTGCTTTTCCTTGAGTCTCGTGGAGCTGCCCCTTCCTTGCAAGTGGAAATTGCAGGTAACACTCCACCAATGGATACCCACGTTGTTGTCACTAAGCGAGAGAGTCGTTAAATGAGTTTCGCCCCATTTTACGACCTTTAAGTGAATCCCTGCAGCTATTAAATTAGTTAAACGAATCCGGCTTGACTTTGCTTGTCAAAAGGTCACAAAAGGGGATTGTGTGAGCCTGGGATGCTGCGACCGTCGTAAATACGAGTCAGTTGCTGAGGGCCTGAATTTGGATCACGTGACTGTGGGGATGGTGTGACGGTCGTAAGTTGGAAAACGGTCCTAAGTTCCTTTTTTTCAGTGCCGTTGTGACTTTGAACGGTCCCTGAATGTAATGTTGTTAAGTCCAGGAGAAGCTGTTGTTTGTGATCTCCTGGATTTGTCATTTCTGTCCCCCCCCCTGTTTAAAAGCAGTTTAAAAGACAACTGAATCTTTGCCCTTTTAGTTAAAGATGTACCCAGGGGGGCAAATATCCTGTCCTAGCAAATAAATAACTGGCAGGTCAGGTCAGGCTAGACCGCCCCAGGTGGGCTGGGTGAAACCCCGGCCGTGCCAGGCAGGTGTGTTTACACGTCTTTCCGTGGAAAATGCCTTAAAGACAAGCCCCGTGTGTCAGGAGTTGTGTGTTTTAGAGAAGAGACAGGGGAAGGAAGGAAGGAAGGAAGGAAGGAAGGAAGGAAGGAAGGAAGGAAGGAAGGAAGGAAGGAGAGAGTAGGATAGGGAAGCCAGGAAGGAAGGAAGGAAGGAAGGAAGGAAGGAAGGAAGGAAGGAAAAGAAGAAAGGAAATTTTACTTCACCATAGCTATAACATCGTCATCTATCTCTCCGTTTGACAGCAAACTCTTTTCCTTCACCGCTTCGAAGATCCTCATCAAAACGCCAGGAATAAATATTTCCCACGTTGTTTCCTCCAATCGCCCCCCCAGCACCCACCACAACCGCTGACTCTCCCCAAAGCCCCCAACCCCCCCATCCTCCTTTCGCCTCTCTAAGCACCGGAGAAGATGCCCACCTGGACAGATTGCAGGCATTCCTCTCCCCCCCCAGGGCAAGTCAATGCCCTCCCCTCCCTCCAGCCGAAAAGCCCACCCCGCCTGGCCCCGAAAGGGAGAAACCCACAATTTGGGGAACTCACAATTAAAAGAAAAACGCCCAGAAACTCGGCCAGGCATTGCCGCAGGAGGCAGCTGCGAATCCTGCAACGGGCTTGCAGCTTGCCCAGCCAGCGGGCGTAAGACATGGCAGGGCTGGCGTGGCGAGGGAGCCAAGCAGGCTGGCGCAGGGCAATATATACATGTGCCTCCGCCACAATAGCTAATTATTCAGGATTGATTAATTGCCTGTTACGTAAGGGCAAAGGGCAGAGGTGCAAGGAATGGCCACGGATGAGGGGGTCAGTGGGCAGGGAGGTGGGGGGCGAGGGAAGAGGTCCAGCTTGCCCCTCAGAGGAGAAGGGTAGACTTGCCCAGATGGGGAGGCTCTCTCAGCCGGGCTATTGGGGGGTATTTTGCACCCAGTTTGCCCAAAGGCTGGGTGTGAGTCGTTGGCATGTGTTTTTGGCATCTTGGCACTCTCTGCCGGCCTTGCCCTTTGGGATGCTGGCAGGGTACACACGGCAGGGCCCGGGTGTTGTGTGCACACATGGGACTCTCCCGCACACGGGACACACCCCAGGTTGGACGGGGGCCAAGGCTGCGGCCCCAGAGTCAAGGGGAGGGGGCAAGAGGGCTGAGGGTGGGAAGGAAGGAAGGAAAGAAAGAAAGAAAGGAGGGAGGGAGGGAGGGAGGGAAGGAAGGAAAGAAAGAAAGAGAGGGGATAGGGAGGGAAGGAAGGAAGGAAGGAAGGAAGGAAGGAAGGAAAGAAAGAAAGAAAGAAAGAAAGAAAGAAGAAAGAAAGAAAGAAAGAAAGAAAGAAAGAAAGAAAGAAAGAAAGAAAGAAAGAAAGAAAGAAAGAAAGGATAGGGAGGGAGGGAGGGAGAGAGGGAGAGAAGGGGCACAACTCACTTAGCCCTTCCCTTAGCACTGGAGAACCTCCAGCTTCAGGAGCAATCTACCCCCCAACAGTCCCAGAATGATTCCACGGGGTCTTTTCTTAAGATTCTGCCTGGGCAAATTTCTTTGCCCCCCTCCCCGAATCTTCAAACGGAGGAGAAAAAAAAGCACGCAGGCCAACCTCAAGCATAAATATAGTATTTCTTTTATTTCTCCTATTTTCAGGCTACGAAGAAGAAGAAGACCCAGCAGCGAAGGAGGAGGCAGGAGCGAGCTCTGGAAATGCGTTAAAAACCTGGGGGGGGGGGGAAATGTCAATAAATATATATGTATATATATAAAGCAGGGGTCTTCAAACTTGGCAGGACTAGAACTCCCCATCTCCTGGTGCTTGGCCCAAAGTCATCCACCAGCTTTCATGCCTAAGGTGGGACTAGAACTCACCGTCTCCTGGTGAATGGCCCAAAGTCACCCAGCTGGCTTCCATGCCTAAGGCGGGACTGGAACTCGCCACCTCCCAGCTTCTAGCCTGATGCCTTCCCTACTAGGCCAAACTGAATCACATGCAGACAAGACCTGAGACAGAGAAAAATGCCAGCTGGGCAGGGATCCTTCGCCTCACCTGCTTCTCTGCCAGCGGGATTATTGGTTGGGGAACCAGCGGCGAAAAAAGGTGTTCAGAATCGAACTCGTGTCACTCATGTCTCCATCCGGCCTGGAGATGAACGGGGCCGGATCTCCTGCAAAACACCGGAAATAATTTCTCTAAAACAACTTCACATTTCTGATCCTTGGCTTGCCTTTTGCAAAAAGGTGCCCCCTGGATGGCAGTTCGGAAGAGGCTCCTCCTCCTTGGACTTACCTGGGCCTCGCAGCACGCCGTCGTCGGGCCCCAGGCTGCGAGTGACAACTGTCTCCTCGTGGCCCTGGCTGTCGCGCACCGTCCGGCGTTCCTCGACCGTCTAAATCAGGGGTAGGCAACCCAAAACACACTCAAAGAGCCACTTGCACCCGTTTCCCACCGAAAACAAAACATTGGGAGCCACAAAAGCTTTTTGGTATCTAAAATGAAGATAACACTGCATAAATCCTTTTTTACCATTATCTATATCTATATATCTATATATCTATATATCTATATATCTATATATGTCCTTTAAAATTCTAAAAATTGGAGGATGACTCCTGGGTAAATTCATGTTCGAAGGGTGACAAGCAGACCTGGTGGTCTCACTGCTTGTGACCCTTCGAACATATCTATATATCTATATATCTATATATCTATATATCTAGATAGATAGATAGATAGATAGATAGATAGATGATAGATAGATAGATAGATAGATAGATGATAGATAGATAGATAGATAGATAGATAGATGATAGATAGATAGATGATAGATAGATAGATAGATAGATGATAGATAGATAGATGATAGATAGATAGATAGATAGATGATAGATAGATAGATAGATAGATAGATGATAGATAGATAGATAGATGATAGATAGATAGATAGATAGATGATAGATAGATAGATGATAGATAGATAGATGATAGATAGATGATAGATAGATAGATAGACAGACAGACAGACAGACAGACAGACAGACAGACAGACAGACAGATCATAAAGGTAAAAAAGGGTATATACAGTGTTATCTTCATTTTAGGTGTCAAAAGGATCTCTCTCTCTCTCTGCCAATGGCGGAGGAGGCCGGGAGCCGCAGGGGAAGGCTCAAAGGGCCACATGTGGCTCCGGAGCTGCAGGTTGCTGACCTGTGGTCTAAAATGGACACCAGGAGGCAAAATGGCCGTAAATTCAGATAAACGGCCACCCTTGGCTCGAAAACGCGCAGCAAGAGTTTGCAAGGGAAAAATCATGCATGAGGACCAGAAACTTAAAAAAAAAAAAAGCTGTGTGGTTTTTCAGCCTCAGCGAGGTCTGCAAAGCCCCCTCCCTGGCCCAGTGGGTGGGTGGGTGGGGGGTCCCCCCTTGGCACTCACCCCATCCGGCCCCATCACTTTTGTGACCGAGACGCTTTTGAAATAGGACCGGGGCTGGGCTGGAGGAAGAATGGCTTCCAAACCTTTGGAAGTGACTTGAGAATCGAGGTCTGTAAAGAAAAAAAACAAACAGGAGATCCAGAGAGAAAAAAATATGGGTTTCGGAGTCCTAGAACGGGACACCGTCGGTCCCGCCGGCTTTACTATGTCTCAAAGGCCATAAGTCAAATGGAGGCAGTCCCCCGAGTTGTGACCATCAGGGAGCCTTAAGGGATTATCAAATGGGGTCATCGTGGCTCAATTTTACGACTTTCCCCACCCCCAGCGGTCGCTAAATGAATCACCATGGCAGTTAAGTGAGTTTGAGTTGTTAAGCAAGCCTCAAGAGTTCAGAATCAGGCCCTGAGTGTCTTTTGGCAGGGCTCAAAAGTACCTCCGAATGGTCACTAAGGGAATCATAACGTCGTAAGTCGAGGACTACTTGCAAAACCTCTTCCGTGCAAAACACGCGTCGGGTTGCTCTTAAGTGCTAACGCAATTTAGCCGGAAAGCGTGAAAGAAGCTTCTATGTTTGTTCTGCCACCACGAGGACTAGAAACTTGTGTTTTGGGAACGGAAAGCTCTTTTGAAAAGCGCATAAATAGGGTGTTTGGATTGGAAGCGGTTCTAACTTCTGAGTTTACAATTTAGTTTTAAAAGTGTTTATCTATCACGCAGCGGGAGATTAGGTGACAAAGGCCGGTTAATCATTAATCAGAGGTCATAAACGAGACTATTTAAAAGGTTTGGCTGCAGGGATGAGGCGAGGCTTTCGTTCTTCCGTAGGTGTTTGTCCTACATAACTCAGTGGCCACCGCCATATCTGGTGGCAGGGAGTTCCAGAGTCCAAAAGTTGTTTCCTTCACACCAGATAAAATCTAGCTCGGTAGGCCCAGCCAACATCCTTCCAATTTTGGTTGAGGGTGTTTTGCAGTACGATAGGTTTCATCCACCCTGTGTTAGCTTTCTTTTTTAAAAAAGTAATATTTTTATTCCCTTATAGGGCTTTTAAAAAAAAGATTTTGGGGGTTTTTTAGGTTTTGGTTTTTGTCTATGTATATCTGTTAGATTTTTAAAATGTTTTTTACCTTTGTGTATTTTATATACATCTATGCCTATATAAAGTTGTGGTTTTTTTTAATGTTTTAACTTGGTGGATTTTTCTTGTTTAACTTTTAAAAGTTTGCATCTTTGCCTTCCACCTTCTTATGCCCGTAATAAAGAACTTGATTGATGGACTATCAAGATCTTTAAAATAAAGACAGACACTGCCACCCCCAAATATACTGAACAAACCCTCCATCTGACTCCATTTGAAATGCTCCAAATATTTGCCCTGGGTTAGCATTAGATCTTCCCCCCCCAAAATTCAAACTCTGACCTCCATCCTCTTTACGAGAATCTTTTAAATCCGGGGCGTCCGGCTGGCTCTCTTGAAACTGCGGAAAAAGAACAGATAAAAGATCATCGGATCACTAAGAAAATAAAAACAGTTACAGTGTTTGGACAATTCAAAGAAAGGTGAGTGGGGAATGTCAGTGGGGAGTTACGGGAGCCAATTTCTCCCCCCCCTCAACTCACGACAGCCCCACGCACCCCTCGGAAAGGGCCCCAGGGCCTTTGCCCTGAAGCTGGAGGACTGGGACCCCCGTCTGCTCCAGGATGGCGGCTGTCTGGGAATTTCAGCATCGAATCCCGGAGGGTCTGTTCCTTGTCAGCAGGGAGGCTGGCTGGTGGTGGGCGGGCTTCCAAGCGAGGGAATTCTGGAAAAAGGAAAGTGGAACATGGGTTCAGGATCAAATCACGAGGGGGGGAGAGAAATGGGAGGGAGGGAGGGAGGAAGATAGATTAGAAAGGGGCAAGGGAAGGAGGGAAGGAAGGAATATAAAATAGGAAAGAAGAGGGAGGCAGGAATAGAAAGAAGAAAAGGAGAGGGAGGAATAAAGAAAAAAGGAGGGAGAGATGGAAGACAGAATAGAAAAGGAAGGGAAGAAGGAAAGGGGGAGGAAGGGTGGGAGGAACGAAGGAATACAGGAAGGAAGGAAAGGGAGGGAAGGAGGAATGAATAGAAAAGGAAGGAAAGAAGGAATACAGGTAGGAAGGAAAGAAAGAAGGAAGGAAGCGGAGGGAGAGAGGGAACGTGAAATATGAGAAAGGGGGAAGGAAGGAAGGAAGGAAGATAGGAAGGAAGGATTGTTCCTCCTCAATCTACATAATATTGCAAAATCAGAAGGATTCAGGGTTTGGATCCTGTTGGATAAGAGTCATCTACTTCCAGGAAAGTCTAAAGCAAATATTTCAAACCACTCGATCAAAGCTGGATGATCCCTCCAGATCCCAACTGCTCAGACCTCCCCCCCCCCGTAAAGGGCACCCACCAAAGGACGGGGGAGGCAGACTTTGGGTCCCGATGTCACTGAAGAAGTTGTTAAAATCGCGGAAGAGCTCCTGAAACCCAAAATGGTCATGGAAGTGAATCCCGCCCGGCTCAAAGGTGAAGCCGAAACTGAAGCCGTCGGGGAAAAGGTGGTTTTCCTGAAAATCCAGATCGTCCTCATCATCTTCCTCGTCCTCCTCGTCCCGGGTGAAAGCCCCCCAAAAGGGGTCAGGAGTCCTGCAGGTAGACAGAGGAGAAACCAGGGGTCTCTTAACCGCTTTCTCCAGTCTCAAATTCCTGGCCTGAGTCTTGGTAAAATAGGTAGAAAATAAGCTTTTTTCTCTGCCTTGGCATTGCTCGATTGATTTGAAACAAAGCTTTTTTTCCCCCCCCAGGTGAGTTCGTATCTGTAAGTGGGCGATGTTCATAAAAGAGAGACAGAGAGAGACAGACCGAGATGGTGGAGGTAGGTAGATATAATGTAGATAGATATCTGCTATCTCTCTATTCTTCATATCCATCTGTCTGTATAGTTGTCTGTTTCTTTCTTACATGATGTCTGTTTATTCATCTAATATATATATCTGATATCCATCTTTCTCCTATCTGTCTCTCTCTCTCTATCATCTGTCAACTATCTATCTATCTATCTATCTATCTATCTATCTATCTATCTATCTATCTATCTATCTATCTATCTATCTATCTATCATCAATTATATCTGTCAATTATCTATCTGTTGATTATTATCTATCTCAATCATCTTCTCTATTATTCTTTCCTAATCTATCATCTATTATCTATCCATCCATCTACTTTTCCTTCCTTCCTTCCTTCCTTCCTTCCTTCCTTCCTTCCTTCCTTCCTTCCTTCCTTCCTTCCTTCCTTCTTTATTATCTTCCTTCCTTATCATCTATCTCTTCTATCTCTCTCATCTATCTTCTCTCTCTCCATCATTCATCTCCTTCCTCCCATCCATCCATCATCTGTATTTATACTGCTCACAAAAATAAAGGGAACGCAAACCCCTTCAGTTCCATGGTAAAATGTTCCCTTTATTTTTTTGAGCAGTATATATCTATATATCTACATAAAACTCTTTGAGCTGAACCCCAAATCCCGAGTGTATTATGATTTACACATAACTTTAAAAAAAAAACATGAAAGAGGCAAAATTGACTTCAAACTAATGTAAACAAGGATTTGAGTTGGTCTGTGTGTGCCAACCGAGGGAGGGCCTGGGTTCGAATCCTGATGGGATAGGAATCTCAAAAGTGGGAGGGGGGATCTTGGGGATTAGTCTGGGCCCAGCCTACCTCACAGGGTTGTTGTGAAGGTTAAAAGGGAGGAATGACACCCATATCTTTTGGTGATATGGGGGCGGGGAATTTGACAGGTACAGAGTCAAGCTGAGAGGGGAGGAAAGGCTGCCTTTCCCTGGCAGGCAGGCAGAGGTCCAACAGGTGCTGCTTTAACCTCCCAGGCATGGGAGGGCTTCATTTATGGATTGGGCCACAGCTCCCTATCCCCCATAGGGCAGGGGATGATGGGCTCCTTGGTCCAACCCTCCTGGAAAGCCACAGGCCAGGAAGGGGCTCAACCGGTGAGACTTCTGCCCACTACACGCGCTTGGAAGGCGTCTGGGGCAGGAAAGGGAGAGCAGCCCGCGCCCCACGCCCGATCTGTCGAGGGGACCCCGATATTTCACCTCTGGAAGCCGAAAAAACCTCGGAAAAGGTCGAAAACGCTCATTCCGCCGAGCGGCCGTAAAGAGACGCCACTTCGCCACCTCAGGAGCGCTCGCTTCCGCCACTCCGTCGCAAAAGGCGCCTGCGGCCTACGCGCTGCCGTAAAACATGCCGCCATTTTACAACATCGTCCCTCCGAGATTGTCGTCACTTCGAAGCGACGTTTCTCCATCTTGGCGACCTCCAAAGCAGGGACTTCAACTCCCAGAATTCCTCAGAAAGTAAAGCTCAAGCAATGCCAAAGCAGGAAAGTGGGCTGAGGAATTCTGGGAGTTGAAGTCCGCACCTCTAAAAGCCTCTAATCCTGCTTTTGTGACTATTGTGGGGGGGGGGGACTCCAAATTTAAAAATGGTCTTTTTTTAAAAAACAACTTTTCCCCCCCATTCCCTGGCTAGTCTCCAAGGGAGGGGCTCTGTTAAGCCTTGCCTGAAGACCCTGGCTTTGTTATCAGTTAATATAGTATTCTGAATTTGGCTGTATATCTGTAATTTAAGAGCCATCTATCAGGAGTATCTTGTCCTCTTTTTGAGTATCGCCAAAATACAGTACTGGAAAATACAGTCCCCCTCCCCATTTGCTGAAGGAACCTCTTAAAAAATTGTTTTATGTGAACCACTAAAAAAACAGTATTATTTATTGAATATCTTTAGTTCCCATCTAGAGAACCACAGATATTCCCTCCTATTGGAACAGTCTTATTTGCAATGGGCACCTCTAAAAAAAAAGCAGTATATCTTCAAGGAGAACCTCTACAAAAACCAGTATTATTTGCAAATGGGAGCCCTTTAAAAAAAACAGAAATAAATGTTCTCTGTCCAGTTAAATTCCCATTTAAATGTGCTAGTTTTTTCCCATTTCCCATTTAAGGGTCTTGTATTGTTAAAACTGTACGGAATATTGTCTTCTTTATCACGTGTGCCTCACCTGTCCTGGGGTCGCCGCGAAGTTACTTAAATCTGTCTGCCACAGATTAAATTTAAATTTTATTTCATTTCAGAGGTCGGTCTGGTTTTTAATTTTCTCCCCCAGCCTCAATTATGATGGCCCCAATTCTCATCTTGATCTCTTCGTGGTCAAATACGACTCCCACCAGCCCTGCCCAATCCAGCCCTTGACATATGACCAAACTGGAGCCTAGCCATTCCCGTCGTGTATCGCGACGGTTGTAAAACAGGACCGTCATACGATCAACTCCATTTTACGTTGCTTGCCTTAGTCGTAAGTGCAAATGTTCGCTAATGGGGGGCACAAGCATTAGAACTTTAATCCAGGACTGAAGTCCCCCTTTTCAAGTATGTAATAAGTTTAAATGGTCACTAAGGGGCCCGTCGTAAGTCGAGGACGAATGGCAAACGAGCCGAGGATTTGGAACGGCTCGATGGGGGGTGGGGGGGGAGAGGAAAAAAAACCAAACACTGCGCATCCAGAAAAACAGAATGGGGTTTTCATTTTTATATACAAGACACATTTATCCATTAAATTTAGAACACAGTACAAAAAAAACCACTTCAACTAATTAATCTTACAACGCGGTTCAGATCAATTACTGCTCTTATTCCTAATAATAAAGGAGGGGAGGGCATGGGGGGAGGGGAGGGAGGGGATTCCAGGTGTTGCCTCCTTTGGATCCGCTGGGCAGTAATTTATTTTGGGGGGCAGGTGGGCAAAGGCTCGGGGTGGGGCGAGAGGGAGAGTCAAGGAATAGAAAACGAAAAAAAGAAGGAAAAATGGAAACAAAAAAAGAAAAAAACAAAATAAAAAAAGGCCCCTACGGCTGAACGGCTCTCTGAATGAATGCGGGGAGGGAGGGGAGAACAAAAAAAAAAGAGAGAGAAAGAGAGAAAGAAAGAGAAAGAGAGAAAAAGAAAAGATACAAATTCTATATTACATACGATAAAGGGGTGGGGGAGGATGAGAGGAAGAGGCTGGGAGGGAGGGGAGGGACGCAGGGTCCGGCTAGGACCGGCCGGCCGTGTCTCCCAAGGCTTGTGGGGCCGTGCCGAGGGGGAGGGAGGCACTCTCCCGGGTGGGGGCAGGGTGGGGGGGCTCTGGACTCGTTCCTTTTTTTTTCTTTTTTCTTTTTTTTGGGGGATGGGTCGCTGTCATTCTTCTGCCGGTCTCTTGGTTGAAGTGTCACTCTGCTGCTGCTGCTGCCGTGGGGGGTGTGTGTGTGTGTCAGTTGGCGCCCCAGTTGTAGCTGTTGTAGGCCGACTTGTTAGCCTGCGATTTTTGAGGAATGGAACTGCCTTGACTGCGTTGGCCGGTGCTGCTCTGCAGGGGGGGGGGAGAAAAAGGGGGGGGGGGGGAAGAGAGGAAAAGAAGTTGAGGGTCAGCCAACAGCGCCCTCCCCGCCCCCTCCACACTCGCTTTAAGAGCCGGAGCGGACTGGAGCCCCGAATTGCAGAATCGAACATCGGAACCGCCCCACGGGCGAAGAGGCATCCGATGGAAAAACTCAGAAAATTGGATTTATTACTACGTTTTTATGTCGCCTGTCACTCTCGAGCGACCCTGGGGAGGCTGGCTTACCCAAAAGGGGAAAAACAGGATATAAAAGGATAAGGACGTTAAGGCATGCACTGTCTGCTTTCTAGTTTTAGTTTTTCAATATTGTAAGCCACCCAGAGTTACCCATAAATTTGACAGGCTGACAGACAGATGACAGGTAGGTAGATAGATAGTTAGATGGTAGGTAAGTAGGTAGAAAGGATAAGATAGATGATAGATGATAGATAGATAGATAGATAGATAGATAGAGACAGACAGACAGACAGACAGACAGGTAGATGAATGGATGGATGGATGATAGAAAGGATGGATGGAGATAGATAAGATAGATGGATGGTATGTAGGTAGGCAGACAGACAGACAGGTTATTGGGTCCAGGGCTGGGAGCCGGCAACAAGACCGAGTCCAATTCAGGGGCAATGCCCTACTTACCTGCCCGTCTTGCTGCAAATGGTGATGCAAAATTTGGGAGTGAGGTTGTTGGTGGGGGGTCAGGATGTGCATGAAGGGGGCCGGGGGGTAGGCCGCGGCCGTGGCAGGGTTGATGGGCCCCCCGCTGCCCAGCGCCGATGGCAAGTTGAAGGAGGCCGCTGGCGTGCCAGTGTGGAATCCCTGCTTCTCAAAGGACTGCTGCGGAGGGAAGGAAAACGGAGGGGGGGGGTTGAGCACGAAAAGTGCACGGCCAAATTCAGGGGTCTCCAAACCAGGCCACTTAAAAGACCCGTGGACTTTGACTCTCAGAATTCCCCAGCCCAAAGTCACCCAGATGGCTTTCATCTGTGTAAGGTGGAACTAGAACATCTCCCAGTGATTGGCCCAAAGTCACCCAGCCAAATTCCATGCTTAGGGCAGGACTAGAACTCTCCGTCTCCTGGTTTCTAGGCCAGAACCTTAACCCCCAGGCCAGACCGGCTCTTATCCCGCTATCTTTTTATCCCTCGTCTTCCAGGCCACACCAATTCTTCACGACTACCAACCTGCGTTTTAGAATAGACAGAGCCGGAGATATCAGGCACTCCTGTGTTACTGGATGTTACAGAAACTCCTGGAGAGAGGGGAAAAAAGGAACAGAATTAGCAACACACCCTCTGCCACTCTTCAGCCCCCCCAATTTGCTCCTGGGGGAGGTAGAGACCCTCGCAGCAAGTTGATTGCACAGCATCTAAAACAAGCTTTAGGCTTAGAATCTTTTGTAGCCAATACGAATTAATTTCTTAAAAGACAGTCTGGGAAACATCACAAGAAAGCAGCAACGGAGTGACTAACGGTTTCAAAGGGTAGGCTGCCCCTGCACCTGGAAGCTCCTCGGATTCAAGTCAAGAGATCCTGACCCCTCTGTGGAATCTGACGCACAATCTCGACTGACCACCACGTTCCTTTACTGATCGTTGGAAGTGACCACGGGACTGAACAAAGTGGCTTTTTCACTTTGATGACCGTGTACAGCATCCCCAAGCAACTGACTCTTATTTACGACGGTCGCCGTGTCCCGGGGTCACGTGATTCCCCCTTTTGCAACCTTCCGACAAGCAAAGTCAACGGGGGAAGCCAGATTCACTGAACCTGACAACCACAGCGACTCACAATGGTGGCAAGTAAAATCGTAAACGAAGCAAAACTCGCTTAGCAACTGACTCGCTTTTGGAACAGACACGCCGGGCTAAACGGTGGTCGTAAAGCTGAAGACTCCCTGCACAGCTATGGGATAAGAATTTAGGAAGTGGCCACCTGAACGGACTCCCCCCACAAAGTGTCAAAAGCCTGAGCTGGGTTCTGCTCCTCCCCGTTCCTCGCAAACCAATGCCCCCCCTGCCCTTTTAAATCTCCTGACCCGTGCTGTATCCGTGGGACCCATAACCACTGGGTTGCTGAAATGGGGCAGCCGAGGCATTCACGCTAACGTTGACGCTGTGCTGCTTGGAAGAAGTAGGGGCGACCTGGGGAAAGCAGACAGATGGAGAATGAGCTGGGGGAGGAGGGGGGAGCAGGAAGGGGGTTCAGGCTCACCCCCTAATCCCAGGCTGGCACTCACAGGAAAGACAGCGGGCCCGTACTGAAAGGTGCTGGGCAGCCCAGGAACCCCAGTGTAGTAGGGCAGGCTGGTATAACTGTAGCCGGGCGGGAGGGCCGGGTTGAGGAACGTCTGCTGGGTGGTGTGATGGGTTTGTGTCTGGTTTTGTTGAGGCTGAGCCAGCGTGGTGGCCGGCGCGGGGGAAGAGGCGTCGCCCCGGCCAAATTTCGTGAGGTCACCTGGAAGACAAAGGGGGGGGGACGTGATCAGCCGGGCCCGTCCCAGCGCAGCAGATTCGGGTCGCCTTCACCGGCGGCGTGCAGGACGTCAACAGCCGGACCGGGCCGAAGATCTGGTTTGCATCTGCCATCCTGGAGGAATTTCGCTCCCTTCCGGTCACCTCTTACCAGAATAAGGGTTGCTATTCAAGCTTGCGTCTCTTCCGGTCAGTGGGGTAGTTGGGGTGGGGAAGGGGATGCTGTAGTAGTCCTGGAAGGAAGGGGGGAGAAGGAGAAATGAGGAGAGGGAAGGTCAAGTCCCAGGAATGGGAAATTATGCTTGCAGACTTTACAATAAAAGGGGGGGGGGGAGAGAGAGAGAAAAGATACTAAAGCAGCAGGTTTGGTTAAATATATATCTGCTTGTGTATATGTATACATTGTGTGTGTGTGTGTGTGTGTGTGTGTATGGATAGATAGAAACATATATATAAAAATATAGATATATAGATTAGATATATAGATAAGATAGATTACATAGACAGACAAGACAGATTAGATAGATAAGGTAGATAAGATAGTCAGACAGACAAGACAGACAGATTGACTAGATAGATAGACAGACAGATAGATGATAGATATAGATAGATGGCTGGCTGGCTGAATAGATGGATGGATGGCTCTTTGCAAGAAGACACCTCTCAGATACAGGCAGTCTTCAACTTACATTTTCTTTAGTGACCGTCACTTAACCACTGTGTTACTAATTTAACAACTATACTCATCCCCTTAACAACCGTGGCAAGGAAATTCGTAAAAGGAGGCAAAGCCCACTTAACAAAGGTTCCCCCCCCCCTTAGCAACAGACATTTTGGGTTGAATTCTGACAATAAGCTGAGGACCACCTGTGGAGGAAGGCTGGCTTTAACTCACCAATGGGAACCTTGTCTGAAGCATCTGCAAGTCATCGTAGCCGTAAACTTGAGGCTGCAACAAGTCAGAAAGAGGTTGAGAGACAGAAATTAGGAATTCTCCAAAACGTTTCAAATGAGATATATATATTTGGGGGATGCCCTAACTGGGATTTAAAAGAGATAGGATTAGGGATCTGGGTGGCTTTAATTTGCACTAAGGTATTTATACGTTTGCCCATATGCTGTTGGAAATGCCTGCCCTAAAAATAAAACGACAGACACAGCCAAATGTGTTCTGCTAGACCGGCACAGTAAATTGTAAACATTATCGAGGAAAAGACTTTTTCCAAAACGTGTAAATTCAACAAGAAAAATGCAGGGGCAGAAAACAAAAAAAAATCCTTTCATTTATTTTACATCTTTCCCCCCCCCCACTCCCATTGTTGACAATCGAAGCCTCTCCCTCAAAGCGAAGGCTGGGCGTAATTTTAGGGAAGCAGACCCTCCCTGACTCCCACCAAATGTTAATTTCATTTAACACCACTTGACTCTAAATAAAACAACGTTCGTGGTGTTCGGTTGTTGACAGTTCAAGCAGCGGGATTCTGTAACCAGACCAGGGAACTAGGAGGGAACCTCCTGCAGTTTATTCAAGGTGGGGGGGGGGATCAAGTTATTTGGGGACAAATTTTCACCCTTCCCTAAAATCCCAGGGAGGACAGCTGCTTTAACGGGTGTCCTGTGTCAACAGCAACAAGATGATCTTATTTAGAGATCGGTTGAGGAACAAACCAGCATTTCTTTCCCCAGTGAGGGAGAGGATCCCGCCCTCATCATTTGCCAGTGTATTTTTTTTCTTGCAAATGGCTGTCCGAGACAGTTGTTGTGAGTCCAGGCAGGCTTGAGGGGCTGCGCCAACCACATCCGGTACCGCTCGGGGGTTGTTCTCCCACGCACTGTCCCTCCTGCTCCGCCACGGGTAAAGAGTGGAGTAGGATCTACTGGCGTGGGTCGGCTGGCCTGGAGGGCGGCCGGGCGGGCCTGACTCACCGGGTAGGCGTGCAGCAGCCCTGGCGCCATGATGTACGGGTTCGGCAGCAGGGGTGGCACGCCGGGTGGCAGGTTGGGGGGAGCCTTTCCTAGAAGGAGAAGAAGGTGGAGGTAAAAGTGAAGGAGGAGGAGGTGAAGAAGAAATGGAGGAGAAAGAGAAAGAATGAAGGTGAAGGAGGAGAAGGTGAAGAAGAAATGGAGGAGAAAAAGAGTGAAGGTGAAGAAGATGATGGAGGAGGTGAAGGAGAAAGAGGAGGAGGAGGAAAGAGTGAAGGTGAAGGAAAAAGTGAAGGAGGAGGAGGAAATGGAAATTATGAAGAGGGACAAGGAAATTTATGAAGGAGGAGAAAGAAATGTGAAGGAGAAAGTGGAGGAGGAAATGATGAAGATGAGAGGGAGGAGGAGGAGGAGGAGAAAGAGATAAGGAGGGTTAATTCGGCTCCGTCTTGATTCCGTTTGGTTGTTAAGACAGAGCAGGGGAAAGAAAATTCTCCCAGCCTTTGCTGGTTCTGCTATAATACCCTACCATCCATGCAGCCTCCTTCAAAGGGATCATGTCAACCTTGAGCTCCTCTCCCAGCCCAACGGTCCCCAGCAGGACCGGCCGACCCACCCAGCCAACCCTGGTCCTTGAGGAGGCACCTGACGTCGTGGCTATGGAGTTGCGGGTCGTGGCCGTCACGGTGGAGTTATTACTGAGGCTCAGGCCCAGGCTGCTGACGCTGCTCAGGCTTGGGGGGGCACTGACCACCGGCGGGGGGGCCGAGACAGTACTGGAGGCGGTGGAGAAAGTGCTTGCAGAAGAGTGGAGCACGGCCTCGCTCTCCATGCTGGTGTGCTACAGAAGGGAAGGGGAAGGGGGGACGGTGGGAGAGAAAGAAATGGGAGACGTAAGGTCAGGATGGTGGTGGGCCACACCTTGAGGAGGACCTCAGAGACGGGCACACAGAAGCTCAGTCCACTGTGAGGTCCTTGGCGCTGGCTTGTGTCCTTGCAGACGTCTCGTGACCCATTTAGGTAACGACGTCAGACCTCTCTGTCCACACACCCAGATAAGCAGGGATTGACACCAGAGAAACCATCACGCAGAAGGCAAGAATCAAGGAACCACCGAGGAGAAACCCACCCAGCCCCGACACTGGCAGAGCAAGCTACTGTATATAAACGGAGGGCAAAGCCCACACTGGTCAGCACTGGTGACGTTACCCAGCTGGGTCATGAAACGTCTGCAAGAGAACCACCACACTCAGGGAGCACCAAGGACACACCAGAGTTTGATAACGAGCGACAAGTTCAATCCACCTTTGCCAATCCTGGAGACCTACGTAGCTGCAGCTGGAATTTAATTGGGTGCCTTGTCCCTCCTGACCAGTTCCAGGCCGAGTCAGGCCAAAAGGGAGGGTGGAGATGGCCTTTTAGGACCCCCACTCACCAAGAGAGTCGAAGTCGACGTGCGACCAGAGCAGGTTGCAGAAGAGAGGCTGTTCTGTTGGGCGGGTAAGGTACTGCGGAAGGAAACAGCAATGCTGGTCAACCAACATTTCAGAGTTCCCTCTTCCAGGTTCACAATTATAAACAAACTAGGTTTATCTGACATGGGTTCTCCAGGGAAATCAAACCAAGACCCTCCTTGTTGGAAGGTCACAAAAGGGGGGGAAAATCACATGACCCCGGGATACTGCGACCGTCGTAAATACGAGTTAGATGCCGAGTGTCTGAATTTTGATCATGGGACCACCTGGAGGCTGCAATGGTTGTTAAGTGTGAAAAACGGTCCCGAGTGACATTTTTACAGTGCCATTGTAACTTTGAGCGGTCACTAAAGGAACCGTCGTAAGTCTAGGACTGTTTATAAAAGCAATCCACGCAGGCCGGAGAGATGAAACCAAGCAGGTCTGCTCTAAAGCTTGATTTTTATAGCAGAGGTCTTCAAACTTGGCCCTTTTATGACTTGTGGACTTCAACTCCCAGAATTCCTCAGCCAGGCACGTGTGCCTGGCTGAGGAATTCTGGGAGTTGAAGTCCACAAGTCATAAAAGGGCCAAGTTTGGAGACCCCTGCTTTATAGGGGGTTTTTTTGGGCCTCCCTTTTGGTCTACAATAGCTGGAGGAGTTTTGGCCCAGAAGCCACAAAGACACCTGGCTAACAAAGTTAAGAGAGGGCTCCATGGGTAAACAGGCATGGAAGGGGAGGGGGCTTGGTGGCACACACACACCAATCTCGCCGGTACCTGCTGTGTTGCGTGGCAGCTGTGTTCGAGAGCTCCTCGGCGTGGTTCAGGCTGCTGAGCACGGAGGAATGCTGGGTGGCTGTGGTCAGCAGGGATGCGGCCGACACGGGGTCGCTCAGGGGGGCTGTGATGCTGGGGGCCGAAGGGGAGTCGGATTTGACAGCAGACCCGGCAGAACCTGGTTGGGGGGGAGCCAGGAGAGAAAGGAGGGGAGGGGGTTGAAGAGGCAGATCCCTCAGCAGCGAAAAGGAACAAGAGCAAGCAAGGAAAGACAGGGAGGGAGGATCTTGCCCTGAGCCACAGAGGAGCTGAGTGACACCTCACACCTTCCCGGTCAGCTCAGCACACTCACTCCCGGCGTGCCAAAGTGACAAATTCAGGCCAGGTTGGGAAAGGGGTACCGTGCTGCCCACCCCTCACGTGCCCAAGCTAGGGGGCTCACCTTCAGTTGCCTGGGTGGTTTGCAACTGCGTAGGTGGCACCGAGCTGAAGCCGTTCTAGAGAAAAGGACAAGAAAAAAACAGGTCAGCAAGTAGGAGAGTTTTGTGTCTCGCACGCTTGAAAACGTCAGCAGCTTCCCTGTGACAGGGGAGGACTAAGAACCGACTCTTGAAATACAGACATTATTTCTGAAGGTATTTTTATCCCACCTTTTCGTATTTTAGGAGTAACTTAAGGTGGTGAGTGTATCTAAATACTCTTTCCTCCTATTTTCCCCACAACGTCCCTGTGAGGTGCGTTGGGCTGAGAGAGAAAGAGAGGGAGGAACTGGCTGAAAGTCACCAAGCTGGCTTTCATGCCTAAAGCGAGACTAGAACTCACCGTCTCCTGGTGATTGGCCCAAAGTCACTCAACTCTCTTTCATGTCTAAGGCGGAACTAGAACTCACTGTCTCCTGGTGACTGGCCCAAAGTCACCCAGATAGCTTCCCTGCCTAAAATGGAACTAGAACTCCCATCTCCTAGTGACTGGTCCAAAGTTATCCAGAAGTCTTTAATGCCTAAGACAGGACTAGAACTCACCGTCTCCTGGTGATTGGCCCAAAGTCACCCAGCTGGTTTTCATGGCTAAAGCAGGACTAGAATTTACTGTCTCCTGGGGATTAGCCCAAAACCGCTCAACTTTCACGTCTAAGCTGGCTTTCATACCTAAGTCGGGACTCGAACTCACTGTCTCCTGGTTTCCAGACCAACACCTTAACCGCTACACCAAACCAGCTGTCCTGCTCTGGCATTCTCCATCCCCAGGATTTCAGCTCTTGTGGGTCTGACGCCCGAGACCTCCGGCTTACCTTGGCCTGGCTTAAATCTTTTTGGGGCGAGGACGAAATGGAGTTGGGGTACCGCCGGGTCTGAGTGGATCTCTGCTCGTACAGTGGTCCCTGAGCACTGTTCTGGGAGGTATACGTTGCTGTAGGCATGCTGCCACTTGGGAATGCCGGCTCCTGGGTCTTGTTGGAGGAAATGCTGGACAGAGACTCGCTAGGAAGGGGAGACCGAGAGAAAGACGAGGTGAGTGGAGGAGATCGCAGGTCCCAGAAGGGATCCTGCCACGGACCCCAAGAGACAAATATAAACTCCCTGGGCATCATTTCTACCACGTTCTACTTTTAGGGGTCTCTGCTGGAGGGGCTTAGGGTTCCTTCCCCCTACAGGTAGCTCTCGTTTAGTGACTGTCCGAAAAAAAGCGACTTAGGGCCTTTTTCAGACTTACGACCGTTGCACCAGACCCGTAGTCAGGTGATTAAAATTCACAGGCTTGGCAACCGACTCACATTTATGACGGTTGCAGTGTCACGGTGTGTGTGTGTGTGTGTAGGGCCTTCTGACGAGCAAAGTCAAGGGAGATTACCCGATTCACTTAACCATAGTGTGACTAACTTAACAACTTTTATTTTATTCAAAACTATATTTTTTTTTAAAAAGAGAGAGAGATGCCCCGTCTGCAACTGAGCCTTGATCCTACCTAACCGATACCTACAGCACCGCCGGGCCCCTCGTTGTGAGTGTGGTTTGTGGTTCACCTTGCTGTGCTCGTGTAGAGGCTGTTGGGAGGCTGGCTGACAGCGGTGCTCGTGGCAGGGGGGGCTTCGTAGTCGGAGAGGACGGGCTCCGAGCCAAACTGCAAAGCCCCGAATTGCAAGTTGAGTCCCGAAATGTCTGCCGAGCCAGGCATCTCCACCGCCAGAGCCGGGATCTGGGGAGGACGAGACGGTTCGGTTTGAGACGGAAGGGCCTTGGCTGATTAAACAGATTTGAAGTTATAGAAGCAGCTGGTATATATTATTATTATGTAAACCTAAAAAGCTGAGGTTTCATCTCATTACTGCTATCTTTCTTATCACTACCTCTATCATCAATCTCTCTAATCACTCTATCTCTTTATCTGTCTATATCCATCTATCTCTTTTATCACTCTCTATCATCTATCTCTAATTCTTTCTTTCTTTTAATCTATATATCTATCTAATCTATTATCTCTATCTTATCTCATCTATCTATCATTATCTACATCTATGTCTGTCTGTCTGTCTCTCTCTCTATCATCTTTAGCTTGTCTGTCTGTATCTATCTCTTTATCTCTTTATCTATCTCTTTAACTCTCTATCTCTCTATCTAAACTGCCCATCTCTCTCTTAATTATCTTAATAAATACAACAGGGCCTAAAACTCCTAATGCTGAAGAATTTGGCATCAAAGAACAGGCTTGTTCAGGCATCACAGGCCGCTGTGCAGCTGCCACAGCAGATTTGCCCATGATCCTGGCGTTTGCTGTAGCATGCACTGTCCCCCCTTTAAGGCTACGTCCGAGCCCAAAAGGGTCTACTGGCATGCGGCCAATCTAAGGCCAGATCACTCAAAAAAAACAACAACACGCTTGCCGGGAAACATTCCTACTAAATCAAGTGTTTGCAAGGCAGGAACTTAAAATTAAAAGGGATTAAATTCATTGCACCCTTTCCCTGATTTCCCTACTCGGCTGCGTTAAAAAAGTTGTCAGTTGTTAAAGGAGTGCAGGGGCCAAGCTGAAGCCTGGCTGCGGCCCCAGGATTTGGGGTAGGGCCCCCCCTTAGCCTAGAGAAGCATTTCTCAACCGCAACAACTTTAAGATGTGTGTGGACTTTGTCACCTTGGGGCAGCAGTTCCCAACCTTTCCCAGAACGCTTCTGAGATAGTCTCGCAGGCCTTGCAACAGTAACACCTGGCTATGCACATACACTAGAAACTTCTCAATCCAAGTTTTCGCACCCCCTGGAATATCGTCTCGCACCCCCGGTTGGGAAGTGCTGCCTTAGGGGAACCCAAGGGGTGGACTAGTGAGCCAGCTTGAGACCAGAATTTTGGGGTCCATGTCATCTCCACCCCCCACCCCCCAAAGGGGGACAACAGGTCCAATTTCAAAGGGCTCCCTGCCCCCCCTTCTGCTCTCTCACCTTTGATGTTAGGGAGGCCTTCTTCTTCTGTTGTTTTAATTTTTGCTGGGCCGGCTGAGGGCTGGAGGAGTCCGGGGACATCTGGGAGACTGGGTTGGTTTTGGTGGCCAGGGGGGAGGACGGGGGTGGCGGAGCCGAAACGGAGGAGGCCGTGGCCACCGGCTGCTTCTCCTGGAGGAACACTTCCATCATGGTGGAGGTGGGGGCGAAGGCCTGCCGCTTGGCAAACGGGCTGTGCACCGCCGATTCGGAGGAGTTCTTTAGATCTGCGGGAGAGAGAGAGAGAGAGAGAGAAAGGGAGACAGAGAGAGAGAGAGAGCATTAATAGGAACCACAATAATTTTAATTTTAAGAATGATCTTCAGTGAAAATAAACAGTTGGTGTTCTCCTGTCCGTTGGCACAAGGCTCCCCTTCGCAAGGAAGGCGAAGAAAACAAAGAGGTCCCTTGGACAAAACATCTGGATGTTATGGGGGGTGCCGTAGAGCAGGTCACTGTGTGTTGACACTGGATAGGTAGGACCCAAGCCAGCCCCGAGCAACTTATTACAAAGCCCCTCACTGCCTTTTTCCCCAGCTCCTGTCAGCCTTCCGAGGCAGACCAGACAGATGAATTAATTCTACTTCACTGTAAGGCTACTTTGCCAGAAGCTTGCTGGTGCAAATCTCCCACAGTCACTTTTACGAGAAATTAGAAGACGGTTCGCTCTGTGCCTCTTTCTCTACCCGTTCACACAGCTGAGGGCTCAGCAATCTCTTCTCCGTTCCCCAGGTAGTGCCTCTTCCCCAAGGCCACTCACCACACAGATAGTTCTAGTTTTATTGTAAGGCTACTTTGCCAGAAGCCTGCAGGTCTGAAATTACGATTCTACCCCCTGCCTCTTTTGCAGTCTGAGAAAGGAGGGAGGGTCCCTTCTGATCCTTTTTCCACCCGTTATTTAGCCGAGGGCTCGGTGGTCTCTTTTCTGGCGGTTCCCCGGGCAGTGTCTCCTCCCCGTCTCCTAAGGCCCTTTCCACACACACCCCGTTACCGCTCCTCTCTTAGGGCCCCCCACCCCTGGAACCTCTTACCATACTGCACAAGGGAGGAGGACTGGCCGGTGCTGCTGCCGATATCCCAGGAGGAGGCCGCGTTGCTGCTTCCAGACGGCTGTGGATGTTGGGCCGCCAGCTGGGCCAGGGCCTGGGCGGTCTTGAACTGCTCCAGGAACTGGGAGCCGGTCGTGGTGGTGGTGGTGGTACTGCTGCTGCTCTTCCCCTCCCCCACTTCGCTGAAGCCCTTTCCCAGCACGCCGACCTGAAGCAGGAAAAAGGAGGCCAAGTCCTACTCAATCCGGATTCTCAGCCCCATCAGAGAGGACTTTAAAAAAAAAAGGGATAGGAACCCCTGCGGATTTTACTCCGCTAGCCGTTGCCGATTCTAGGGGTGGGGTGGGGCTCAACTCCATTTCAAGGCTGTTGAGCCGTCGTTGTCCGAAGACGTTTCCGCGGTCGTGACGTTGCAGAGCGCTGTTACCTTCCCACCGAAGTGGTACCTATTGATCTACTCGCATTTGCCTGCTTTCGAACTGCTAGCTTGGCAGGAGCTGAGGGGGGAGGACGGGAGCTCACCCCGTCGCATGGTGCTCGGGTTTCAAACCGGGGCTGCCGGCTTTCTTTATAAAAATATGTACCAATACAATTATATCTGCGCCCTCAGAGCCAACTCTAACCTTAGTTTAGCTGACTAAATCCAAAAAGGGCACATCGAATAAAATTTCTCAACTTCAAGACCCCGTTCTTTCCAAGAAATCAAACTAAAAACACCCCACAACGATCCTCTTGGAGTTTCAGAGCTTGGGAATCCTGCCTAAGCTATGGAGAAAAACTCTGAAGTTCTGGAGGATTTGCGATTCCTTACTTTGTTTTATTGAGAAACTGAAAAAGGGCCCGGGCTGTTTCCTTACCATGCCGTGGTGGGGGAAGGTGTTTGCCGAATTGGACTGAGAGACGGTGCTTTGCTTGGAATTGCTGAACACCAGGGGCTGGTTGAGCGTCGGCGGCGCTTGGGAGGAATCCACGCTGGGCGATTCGTTTTCCAGCGAGGAAGGTGTCTTTCCTAAGAGCACTGCAAGATCGATTCTAGACGGGGAAACACCGGGGGTCACTTCTTGAGATGGCGGGGGAGGGGGCTATACAAATCGACTGACCGATCCAATAAATAAATTCCCAAAATGTAACGACAGAAGAGATGATCTGTGGCTCAGGGCTGAACTGTGGGGTCTTAGTGCTCTCTGAGCTGGGATGTTTCCTTGCAGACGTTTCATGACCCAACTAGGCAACATCATCAGTGCTTAGAAGGAAGTAGGGTTTGCGAGGAGGAGGAGGAGGAATTGTGGGGTTGTTGGTGCTCTCTGAGCTAGGATGTTTTCTTGCAGACATTTCATGACCCAACTAGGGAACCTCATCACTGCTCAGAAGGGAAGGGTTCTGTGCTCTTAAAAGAGCAAAATTAAAAGAGAACAAACCCCACTCCCTTCTAAACATCGATGATGTTCCCTAGTTGGGTCATGAAACGTCTGCAAGAAAACATCCCAGCTCAGAGAGCACCAAGGACCCCACAGTCCTCTCCTCCACCCCGCTGGAAACCCCCCTCCCTGCTAGTCCTGATGATGTTATCTAATTGGGTCATGAAATGTCTGCAAAAAACCCCACCAAGCTCAGAGAGCACTGAGGACCCCACAGTCCTCCTCCACTCCGCAAATCTCACGCTGATGATGTTACCTAGTTTGGTCACGAAAGGTCTGCCAGAAAGCAACCGAGCTCAGAGAGCACCTAGGACCGCCACTATGTATAATATACCGAGTGACATAAGGAATCACCTCTGTCCAGCTGTGATGGTCACGTTTTCCACAGGCAGCGGCACCGAGGAGACGTTGGAGGCAGTGAAGATCTTCGTTTCTGAAAGCTGGGATGGGGGGGAGGAGAGAGAAAAGTATGCAATGAAGCCTGCCCAAAGTTCATGAAGCAGAAAGTTAAAAAAGGAACTGAGGGGGGGGGGTTACCTACATCTTCATTCCAGTCCTCGGTCCCCCACTCCTCCGTTGCTGTCCTCCACGCACCTGTCAAGCAAGAGATCAAGGGTGAGGTGAGAGCGAGTTTAAGCCCCGGTGACACAACAAAGGAGGAGGGGGGAGATTTCAAAGAGCAATGCAAAGAGCTAAGCAGGCTGGTGATCCTTGCCCAGACAGACAGAAGCTGGGGGGGGGAGGGGAGAGAGAGAGGCAGGGGCACAGCAGCTCAACACACAATCCCCCTCCCCCCTCCCCGGCCACCACCAAAGCAAAGAGGCTGGACTCTGGAACCACCTCGGGGGAGAGGGGCTTCGTTTTTTGGTCCTGACATATAACTCACATCCCTCTGGAAAGACTGAATTATCCCCATTTCTAAGCTAAATCCAATCATCTAGATCTAATCAAGATCTAACCATCCCCAAGTCTAAGCTGGATCTAGTCATCTAGATCCAATCAAGATCTAAGCATCCCCAAGTCTAAGCTGGATCTAGTCATCTAAGCTAGATATAATCATCTAGATCTAATCAAGATCTAACTATCTCCATTTCTAAGCTAAATCCAATCATCTAGATCTAATCAAGATCTAACCATCCCCAAGTCTAAGCTGGATCTAGTCATCTAGATCCAATCAAGATCTAACCATCCCCAATTCTAAGCTACATCTAGTCATCTAAGCTAGACATAATCATCTAGATCTAATCAAGATACAACCATCCCAAAGTCTAAGCTAGCTGCCAACTCTGATTGCTTCCCGGTCTTCCAAAATTAACTTTCTTTCTAATTCCGCCCATGATCAGAGGCAGCAGGCCAGCATCTCTGCCTCTGGACCCTTCTAAGCTTAAGAACAAAATTGGTGTGGGGTTTTATTTTGTTTTTTGGTGGTATGCATAGGTATATGGATAAATTATAGCCATCCTCCTCTTCCTGTGAGGAATGCGTGTAAGATTATCTGGTTTGAAACTGGTTTGGCCTTCTCCCCATAAACAGGAAGGTGGCCAAAACACACAAACACCTCCAGTTAGTGTCGGTGGGTGTCTCCTTTCAGTACATCTGACGGAGAACGCCCACATCCTGGTTCGAGTCCCTGGATATTTTCCACGGCTGACAGACTAAACCCCTTTCCAGTAGATAAACTTTCAGAAGTTCATTTCAAGGACCAGGAAAAAGGCAGCAGGAAGGGAAATCACACAAGACTCCGGGTCGTTTAAAAAAACACACACAAAAAAACACAACCTAGTTTCTGCCATTCCTCCCCCCCTCCCCACTGCCTAGCCCCACTGAGGGTCAATTAACAGGGTCAGGCAGGAGGAGAGAGGCAGTGAAGAATGTCCAAAGAGAGGCAGATTAACCTGGTTAAGTTTTCCAATTCTAGATGGGTCATAAATTGTAGGCACCGTGGAGGTTGGCTTTAGGAAATTTAGAAGACTTGATGGGGAAAACCTACTTGTTTATATACCCCAGAAAATATTTTTGCATTGTTGGGAAAAAGAGTGCCCAACTGAAAAACCAACAGCCAGATTCCTACAGCTTGGGAGGCGACCGAAAAAATTGGCCCAGGGACTTAGCACAATGTGAATCCAATTTCGACCCGCTGAGATACATTGGGATCCACTGGTGGAAATCTGGATCGTTCCCAGCAGATCCACCAAGAGTTCTGACTACATCCTGTCTAAGCAAACCAATTAAAAACACAGGTCGTCCTCAACTTATGACTGGCATTTCTGCTGCTAAGCAATACGGTTCTTGAGTGGTGCCCAATTTTATATATATATATATATTTAGTCCCAATCATTAAGTAAACGACATTTTACAGCCGGTGAAGCTAAGGAACACTGTCTTATGTTAGTTATTTTAAGCCACACTATCTGTTCCCAAGCCATAATGGTACAGCCATCGATAAGCCTGGGAAATCAAAGCCAATTTTCATCTCAAACATGGTCAATTCCTCCCCGAGAAACTGCAGATGCGAGGAACGCCCAAGTTAGTAAAAGCAACAAGGCGAGTATGTTAAAAATATTACGTGAACAAAAACAGAGAGGGAAAGAGATGGAGGAGGAGGAGGGAAAAAGACAAAGACAGTAACATATCCACAGATAAATTCCAGCTTATTTTAAAAAGGTTTTTAAAAAAAAAAAAAAAAAAAGATAAAAAAAAGAGATCCGAGGGCAGTTAGGTGCACCTGGATTTCTCGTACCAGGAGCAGTGTCAAATTTTCGGGGGTAATTTGACCCCTCGCCCCTAATGTAATCAACTCCTGAAACGAAACAAGAGTAAAGGAAGAAAAGAACAAAAAAAAAAAACACAGTAAAACGTCAAAATACTTTGAAAGGTGCCACCAGGCGCCCCGCTTCCCCCGCCCCGTCACCCTGCCCCGTACCTGTGGATATTGATCAAATTAAATTAAAGGAATTAAATTAAATTAAAGGGGGCGGGGAAAAGGGGGCTTAAACGCGGCTAACTAATCGGGAGGAGGTGCGACGTGGGGTAAATTTTATGGAGGAAGAGGGGAAGAGGGAAACGGGTTCTAGACACGGCGGGGGGGATGGACAGAGGGACGTATGACACCCCCCCCCCTCTCTCTTTCTCTTTTTAAAATAAATGTTCATCTTGCTCTTCTTTAATAGTGATCCAAGGCATATCCCCGTTCAGTTTAGAAGGAGATCCGCCGCCCCCCAGCCACCCCCCCCAACCAAGGCAGTGCCGAACCCCCGGTCACTCACTCGTCCCATCGTCCGGCTCAAAGCTTCCCGTGCTGTTCCATGTGTTGCTGTTATTGCCGTAACTTTCGTCCGTGCTGGTGGGTTCTGCATAGTCGGCGGGGTTGAAAGTCCTGGGGGGGGGGGGGAGAAGGAAGGAAAGAAGCAAAGGAACATTGGCAGGAGGCCGTTCTCCAGGTTGAGCCAGGATAGGTTACTGGTCCCTGGCGAGGAGGCTTCAGACGGATTCAGTGCAAGGCTATAGTTTTGATTGCACGGCTGATCTTGCAACTCATCTCGGGGGGGACCAGGAAGAAGGGCCTTCTCCGTGGTGGCTCCCTCCTTGTTACTTTAAGGACCATCTTTGTCCCAGTGACATCTACCGACCCACCAGAGTGGGGGAGGCAGGGTGTGTGTTATGGGACCAGGAAGAAGGGCCTTCCCCGTGGTGGCTCCCTCCCTGTGGAACATGAAACGACTGCAAGAAAACAGCCGAGCTCAGAGGATCCCTCATTTCAACCCTCATCCTCCTTTACTGCAACCACCTGCTGCCTGGAACACAGCTGGTGTCTTATTGCCACCACAATCAGGAACGGAACCAACTCACACGCTTAGAGGGAAGCTTACCCCATGCCCTGGGCAGAAAATCTTCCTCCTCGTCGTCCGGATCCGCCTGAAGACAGAAGAAACGGTCTGTTAGCTGCCTTCGACGTTCATGGTTACCCAGGACCTGCTTTTAACCAGGCTGTGCGACAAGAGATTAGTTTTCGGTGGTCTTAGTAGGTAAGTCAGGCACGGAAGAGAAGAGAAGAGGGGAGGGGAGGGAAGAGAAGAAAGGGAGGGAAGAGGACGGGAGGAGAGGAGAGGAGGTCACGGATGGGAAAGCTCCTGTTAAAATTCCTTCCTGGCAACTATAAGGAGCTATTTTCCTTCTTAAGGGCCTTGCTGTGTTTAAATTTCCCAATAAAGATGATTTGTTGCAGGGCTAGAGACGAGTCACCGGGGCTCCCTGGCTCACCTCTGCCTCGCCCACGTCCCCGTCGCCCTCTCTCCGTGCCTCTGCCTGAAGATCCACTTGTCTTGCTACCATCCAGTCCGTTCTCTTGACCCCGAACTGCAAAACACAAGAAGGCGCTGGGAGATTTGCAAGCGAGGAACGCAGGACAGAGAGAGAGAGAGAGAGAGAGAGAGAGAGAGAGAGAGAGAGAGAGAGAGAGGGAAATAGTGAAGGAAAAATAAAAGGGAGACTCCACGGCCGCTGATCAACATTGGTGCAGGTTGAAAACCGATTTGGTCACGCCTTAACACGGCAACGGCCAGGAAAAACGGCCACACTGTCGTATCCCCAAAACGGGAGAGAAGCTACAGTCTTGTGTGGAATTGTACCCATTCACTGCGCACCCTAAGTCTTTAAAAGCTGAACTTCAGAAGGGTGAAGTTACACCATCTCCAAGAAATAAACATTATAGGTCGTTCTGGACCGGCCAGCAATTGTTTAGCGGCCTAAGTTACAGCAGTGCTGAAAAAAGGGACTTGTGATCAGTCCTCGCGCTTACAACGGTCACAGCATCCCCCTGGCCCCGTGATCAAAATTCGGATGCTTGACACCTGACTCCCATTTATGACTTTTGCGGTGTCCCGTGACCTTCTGACAAGCAAAGTCCATGGGGAAGCCAGATTCACTTAACAACCGTGTTCCTAACTTAATAGCCGCAGGGATCCACTTAAGAACCGGGCCAAGAAAAGTCGTAAATTGGGGCAAAACTCACTGAACAGGTTTCTCATTTAGCCACATAAATTTGGGCTCAATTTTAAGTCAAGCTGACTACCTGTATCAAGGCATTTTCCCCCCCCTCCCAAAAAAACCCCACGTGACTTTCTCAGCCAGGATGTTTGGATATTATTCTGCGAGAAATTGGCTCTCCCATTCTTTTAAAAAATAAATAAATAAAAGGAAGGAAGGAAGGAAGAAGAAACAGCAACCGGCATCCGGAAATACAAAATGTCCCCTCTTTGATTTTCTGCATCTTGATGTCCTTTCTCTCCGAACAGAAATAGGACGGAAGGGTGGAATCCTTCAAAAGGGCTAGAAGGTTCTGAGAGATCCCCCTGGGGGGAGAGATCTGGGGGGGAGGGGACGTCTTCCTGCGAGGGTGGACACAGCCTGTCTGAAGGTCAAAGCCACCTCCTGGGAAGGGGCTGGAAGGGATGGAGGAGAACCGGCCTATTTGGGAGTCACAAGTTCTGCAAAGGAACATTTTGCACCTCCTCAGGAAGGTGTGTCTATTGCTTTGTATGCAGAATCAGGGGCCTACATTCTCTCCCACGGCTGGCTCCACGGCCTCTTCGGGGCAGGCCGCTCCCCCGTCGCCGGCTGAAGTCCCTCTCTTTTTCCCGGTTCTCTTTGCCTTCGTCGCTGGGTTCCGTCTGTCCGCTGTCTTTCTGTCCCGACACGCCTTTCTTCTTCCCAACCATTTCCCAGGAGTGCTAAAAAAAAAAGAAAAGAAAAACAAAGCAATAATTAAAAATAATTCCATGCGGTATTCCTGACGATGTGTCTGCTTTCATTATCCCAAAGATGTTTTTCCACGATGCAACTGGACTTTTCTTGTTTTTCTTTGAAGATGTTTCGCTTCTCATCCAGGAAGCTTCTTCGGCTCTGACTGGATGGAGGGGAAGAAGCTTCTTGTAGGAGAAGCAAAACATCTTCAAGGAGAAACAAGGAAGTTCCAGTTGCATCGTGGAAAAGCATCTAGGGGACAACCAGGACCTGGATGACGGAGAATCTCCATAGACATCTGCTTTCATTAATAAAGGGTTAATTTCCTGGCTGTTAACAGCGTTTCTCAATTTTGGCCCCTTGTAAGGAGTGTGGACTTCAACTCCCAGAATTCCCCATCCAGCCAGAGGAATTCTGGGAGCTGAACTCCAGACCCCTTACAAGGGGCAAAGATTGAGAAACGCTGCTTTATGGAACAACCGGGGATTAAAGACTTCATCTGGCTTCCAATTTCAAAATAGTTCCCTCAACCAGGATTCCTAGCAGTCAGTACCTGCATGAGAGTAGCCTCTTCCAGCACTTTCTGCTCATTTCCAAACAATTGGGGGAAAGCACGGAGCGTGCATGGAGAAAAGAAAGGCAGCGGAGTTTTTTTTACAACAAAGGAGCCGATCTGGTCCCAAAGGAAGGGCCTGTGCTCCCCCCCCCCAGTCCATTAAATTAAATCAAAATTCAATAAACCGATGTTGCATTTTCGGCAGGGCTCAAGGGACGACTTGAATCCACGTCACCCTGAAAAAGCTGCACGGAGGTCGGCAACACCCAACCTGTGACATTTGTGGTTTTAAAATCTGAACCGTGACGTGAAAATATGGATTCAACCTCCGTGGATCTTTTGACATTCCTTCCATTTTTAACCACCCTGAAACCTACTGAGGGCACAAAAGAAGCCGGGAGCGTTTTAGGACGAGAGACGCTCGAGATACTTGAATGTAGAAAAGAGACAGATACATCCTCTTATAGCAAGGCCTTTTTTTGTTGTTTCTGCCCGAGTGTAATATAGCAAGCCTGCTTATTATGGCTTGGCACAGCATGTGAATAGCCAAAGTTCAAACTCCAGTTTAGCTTAGGGAAGGGGAGGGAGGGAGGGAGGGGAAAAAAGCCCATTTCATTGGTAAAAGGGAAACCATTCGTTTATTCATTCCTCTGTAAAATGTATTGGCTGCCCCGCTTACCGTAAGGTCCCTCTGGGCCACTTACAAGCATAAAAATACATCTACATTAAAATATGAATAGAGAGAGTCCTTCACCCATCACCACAGTGGAGCCCAAAATTTCTGTGGCTCAGCCAGACGGTTGTTGAGTGGGTTTTGCCCCATTTTACGACCTTCCTAGCCAAGGGAATCACCGCAGTCGTTAAGCCGGTTACATGGCCGCTAAGCGAATCCGGCTTTGTCACAAAAGGGGATCGTGGGATTTATGACACCGCAACCGTCCTAAATAAGAGTCAGTTGCCGAGCGTCTGAATTTGGATGACGTGACCACAGGGAAGTTGCCAACGGCCGTTAAGGGTGGGAAATGGTCGTGAGTCGTATTTTGTTGTAACTCTGAGTGGTCACTAAATGAACTGGGGACTGCCTGCATATTTAAAACCAGCAATGAAAAGAGCCCAAGTGCTTTCAGCCACAGCTCAGCTTTGATGGGGTTTGCACACCACGCTGGGCTGGAAGCCAGTGTCCTCCTTGCCAGTCCAGCCAGCCGGCCGGCCAGCCTCCCCCTGCCCTAGCCGAGCCCCACAACTACCGTGTCTGGGTTCCCCTCCAACAGCACGTTGATGGCTCTGTTGACATCCCCATTGCAGTCGTGCAGTGCAATCACACACTCATCCTGGTTCTTGCCTGTGATGTCGATCAGCTGCAGAGGGAAAAAGAGAGACAATGAGAAGGGGGTCTCCTGCAATACTTAAACCGCTTAGCGATAAAAGAGAATGTTTATAAGTTTAGGACTAGCTCCCTCTCTCAGTCCTTTTTGGAGTTTCCTTAGAAGGCACAAAAGTTATTTTCCTTGAATGTCTACGGAGGTCCCCAGCCATCCAGGTCCTGGCTGAAGACGTTTCGCTTCTCATCCAAGAAGCTTCTTCAGCTCTGACTGGCTGAAGCTATTTCCCTGAGCTTGTTACGCACTCACCCACCCCCAGTTCTATTTTTATCCCAAGTATCCTTCAACCGATCAGGATCTTTTCGGCCAGGGCTTCATAAATTATTTTAATGAGGCAACCCTTCTCTTTTTCCACTGGGCTTTGAAAATGTCAAAAAGGTCCCTATTTTTACTAACCCCCTTTGCTAACATAATAAAACTGCAGCGGTTTTAAATTTACACTGGTTACCTGCACATTTGTTTCCCCAAGAAACAAACAAGCAAAACAAATAATAAAAAAAATTACTGGCAGGCAGAAAAGCGAGGCAGGATGACCCAGCCAAAAATTAACCAATGTGACTCTATTAGCTGGAATTAGAGCAAAGAACCATTTCAAAGCTGTTCCTATTCTGGGACGTTTAGCCTTTGATTCGCTGGAGATCTCACAAACCAGAATCAAACGTCAGGGCAAGCACAGATTTTGTTTGGAACTGATCAAATACTAAAAAGGGAACCATTTTGGCTAATATTGGATGTTCCAACTCCAGGGAATGTCATGAATAAAAGATACGACTTAAGACACCAATCCAGCTTAGCTGGATTATGTACAGGTAGTCCTGGATTTACGACCAAACTGAGCCCCAAATTTCCACTGCTCAGTCCTTAAGTAGTTTTGCCCCGCTCTACGACCTTCCTGGCCAGTTTTTAACCTGAATTACCGCAGTTGTTAACTCAGTAATACAATTGTTACGGGAATCCGGCTTCCCCATTGACTTTGCTTGTCAGAAGGTTGCAAAAAAGGGGGGGATCACGTGACACACACACCCCAGGGACGCTGCGACCGTCGTAAATACGAGCCGGTTGCCAAGCGTCCAATTTTTGACTACACGACCGTGGAGATGCTAAAACAATCGTACGCGAAAAATGGTCATAAATCACTTCTTTTAGTGCCGTTTCAACTCCGAACGGTTGCTAAACAGAACGGTTGTAAGCTGAGGACCACCCGTGGGAAGACCTCCGCCTCTTACTTGTTTCACTTTTTCCTCAAAGTCGGCGTCGTTGTGGTCCGAGATCATCTGCGCAAGTCGAATTTGCTCCGCAGTGGCCTGAGAAGAAAAAGACCAGGAAGAGAAAAGGAGACGGTTGACTTTTCGGGGAGGCCGTGTCCAAAAGGGGAAAGGTGGAGGGGGACAGGTAAGTAAGTTCTAACCGTTCAGGTGAGGTGCTGTCAACTCTCTGGGACAGAGAGAGGATCTGAGTTCCAGTGGAAGCCCCTTCCCAGCCCAGGATGTGGGTTCTGAAAATCTTAAAAAATGGCCCACAAGTTGCAGGCTCCTACGAGGAGGCTCGCTCGGAGGAAGTCCTAGAGACTTATGACCGTCGTGGAGAGCGGCGTCTCCATCACAAGTGTCACGGTCCTTAAGGCGAGTCGGATCTGGTTTTATGACCGTTTTTACGGTGGTAAAGTGAGTCTCCACGATCATTAAGCAAATTACAGAGTTGCTGAGTGAATCACGTGGCTGTAAACCAAATCTGGTAAGCTTTAACCGCAAAGCCAGCGGTTAAACCAAACCCAGGTTTAAAAACCAAATTGATCCCAGCTTAGTGTAACGAGTCCTTGGCTTCCCTGTTTGGTCTAGAGAGGCTAAGGCACCAGGCTAGGAAGCGAAAGGATCCTGAGTTCAAGTCCTGCCTTAGGGAGGGAAAGCTGGCTGGGTGACTTTGGGCCAATCGCCAGGAGATGGTGAGTTCTAGTTCCTTATTAGGTGTGAAAGCCAGCTAGGTGACTTGGGCCGATCCTTCTCTCTCAGCCCATCCCACCTCACAGGGTTGTCGTTGTAGGGAAGAGAAGAGGGAGGAGGATTAGGTGTGTTCACCACCTTATTTCTAAAAAATAACATATACTAATGAATAGTAATCACTCCCTCGAATGGATCCCGACGAACGGGTGCGGCAAGGAATCAAATATCAGATTTTTACCCACCCGGCTGGAGTCTGATTGCCAGGGTAACCAGATGCTTGGGTACAATTGGCCAAGAAAGGAGGAGGGGGGTGAAGTGTGACTCCTCCTGGCACCTTCCCTGGCAGCTCTTCTCCCTGGCTTCCTCCACAAAGGCCAAGCTCCACCCTCCCTCCTCAGTTCAGCTTCCTGCTAAGAGCAAACAAAGGTGGAGAAAGCACCTTTGTCTCCCCAGTAAGACGTTAGGAGTCACAACTGAAAGAGCAAGGAAAGGCCGGTCACCTGCCACCGCGCGCGCACACACACACATACACACACACTTGGGGGGGCGCGGCCGCCCAGTTTCCAGGGAGGCCGCTCGCTCCGCCCTCACCTGTGGCCTCTGCTTGTGCTGTGCCTGGGTCTGTGTTTGTGTCTGCTCCCAGCTTCCCCGGGCTCGGTTGGTGCCCACCGATGTCATCATTTACAGTATATACAAATAACAGTATTTACAAGGCAGAAATCTGCAAATAAAAGAAGAGAGAGAGGTGTTAAAATTAAGAGCCAGCAATGACACCTTTCACATGATCGACCCAGGCGCTTACAGGTAATCCTCGACTTAATGATGGCAATTTAGCCCAAATACTGCCCGTTTTATGACCAGACCTGCCAGCTGATAAGTGACTCATTGCAGCTCTTAAGTTAGTAACGTGGTTGTTAAGTTGTTAAGTGAATCTGTCAGAAGGTTGCAAAAGGGGATCAGGGGACACTGCAACCTACACGCCAGTTGCCAAGTGTCCAAATTTTGATCCTGTGACCGTGGGGATGCTGCCACGGTCGTAAGTGTGAAAAACGGCCATAAGTCACTTTTTTCAGTGCTGCTGTAACTTCCAACAGCTGCTACATGATAGTTGTAAGTCCAGGACTGCCTGTATTTCCTTTTGATTTTCGGCTCCTATCAAGCACTTGCTTCAGAACAACTGCCAGGGTGTGAAAGGATCACAGTTTCCCCCTCCCATCCTGTAGATTGTGTAGCCTTCACTCAACCCTACCAGCACATCCTGCTTACTGGCTACGATTTCAAAAAGATTGGAGGATGATCCAGTTTGTCTCCCCTCTCTTCTGGCTTCGCCCCAGCTTTGAATAAGAAGAGTTCAACTCCTAGCCGGTCAACTCTAGTTGTCCAAAAACTGATAAAACCCTTTTCCTAAGACAAGTTTCCGTGACTAATGGAAAGTTGGAGGTGTGTTGCAACACGCCACCAAAAAAACAAAACAAAACCCCAACCCAAAGATGGATTGCTTTCTTTTAGAAAATAAAGTTCTCCACCATAGCTGGACTCAATTTATCTTTAGCAATGAGCAATCCCTTTTGGAGCAAGGTTCCCTTCCATCAGGATTTCCTGGCCCTGCAACGAAATCCAATCTGACTTCGGGAGAGCTGAAGGAGACTTTATAAAACCGCGCTCGGGAAAGGGCTGAGCACTTCAAAAAGACCCAAAAAATAGCTGAAAAGTAAACTGGGTGTTGTGAATTCCGAGGCAGAATGAGGAAGTTTGCAGACTTATTCAAAACTTCCTAGCCTTGCAGATGCGTTTAATCAAGCGCACAGAGTGGGCCGCGATACAGCAAGCTGCCTAATAAAACGGATATTCTTAAATCCAGACTGCCAGGGTAGAACAGGCACTCCAAACGAGATCACCCACAAGAGGGAGATCAGAAACCAAACTTAAAACCCCTTCAGGGTTTTATTAGGAGCAGGACAATTATCCCCGTAGTGACCGAGTTTCAAATCTCCTTTCCCGAGAACGGATCCTTCCCTCCTGAGAAATCACTCCACATGTAAGCCACTTACAGCAAAATGATTCAACCCAATTTGGTTTCCAGGAATCCAATCTGCTCTTTTGAAGACACCCCCCCCCCCCCCCCCGCTGAAGCTAATCAAAAGTCCCAGGCAGCAAATGGCTGGAGAAGGAAACCATTTTCAATCCACAGGACTCCAGGCCTGTTGCTAACAAATTTTAGCCTGGGCAGCAAACAACACACATCCGCACAGGTGGGAGAAGGAAAGTGATGCAACAGAGTTTGTGTTTGTCTCCTGCTCAGAAATTGAGCCCTCATCTCTGGAGACGGGAAGAAAAGAGAACCGTGTCCTGTTAAGCTAAAGGTACAGTTTTAGGGAACCAAGAGACATGGAATGTATGCTTAGAAGGAAAATCTCTCTCCCGTGTCATTTATGACACGCCTGCCATTCTTATAAGTATAAATGTACAGCCATGATTTCCAAAACAGCAGCTTCTGGGTCCTTCTGAGAGGCCCAGCGCAGTGTGTGTATACAACAGAAGCAACAAAAGGACCCGAAAGCTGTTAAGGCAGAGACACAAAACTAGGAAGTAGTAAACAAAGTCTGCCTCTGGATATTCCCAAAAGGAGCCATTTCTGGTTACAGCTAGCCAAAGGGGTATTGACGTTCCTGGATGCTGGATTCTTGGGTTGTTGTTTTTCTTTCCTTCCTTTTTCACCCTTTCTCACAAGAGAAGCAGGCCGAATGGGGTGAGGGTGGCTGCAACGGATGTACACATCTCCCTGGCTTACTCAGCAGCCTCCACTTAAAAAGGAAGAGACAGCAGGTGATGGAAGAGACCCTAGAGAGCAGCTGCTAGCAGAGCCAACACAGTTGGGGAAGAAGGAACGTCAACCTGACTTAGCATTCGGGGCAATTTGCACAGTGGGATTTGTCCACGTCTCACAACTTCATCCTGAAAGACGAGGGGGCCCGTTTCTCAGGAGCTGGCGACACCTCCCTGCTTGGACCCTGCCCTGGCAAGCCGCCTTGCCAGCTTCGGTGAAGTAAAAAAGATGCCTGGTCAAACAGCTGGAAGCAAATGATTAGGAGAGAGATGGGAAAAGACAGATATATATATTTTTAACCCCCAGGTTTCAAAGCTCACTTTGAAATTGTTTAAATTTTTTTTAAAAAAGAAGACAGGGAAGATTTGATGTTCTAGAGAGGGAGCTGTTAAATTTGTAATTTAATTCTCAAGGCCTAGGAAAACAGTTTTGGCGGGAGTTTTTTTGGCCAGACCATGACAAATGTTGCTTCTTTACAAGACTGAAAATGCACCAGTTTGCCCATCCCATGATCTACTCTGATATTATTCACTAAATGGGCCAAGTAGAGGCGTTAAAAAAGCTTCCTGTTCTCTCATACTGTCTCCAGAGTAGCCTTCTGTTCCTGAAGCCACCACACTGAAGATTGATAGACTATTGCTTATCATCCATCCCCTTATAAAGCTATGGACCAAACCCATCAAATGGCAATAAATTCACCACCAGATAGCAGAGGTTTCAAGACTGGTAATAAAAATGGAAGCGGTTAAAAAAAATGTGGCAAAGAAGATCAGGAACTTGGAGAAAAGATAGTTGACATGTTGTTGAGCAAAATATAATGCAAGTGCCTCCTTTAAAGAACGGCAGTTCTCACCTTGCTGCCAGGTGAACCAGGCAGGTAACTAAACTATATGGAAATGAAACGTATACTCGTCTTTCCCAATCTAATTTCTAGAATAGTTTACTGCACGTTTAAATCTACAGCCCAATAAGCAATGATAATATTACTCCTTCCATGTTAGGCCTGAAAGAGAATAATAATTCTTGGATAGCAGCTTCCACCCAGGGAGAGCAAGCTTCTAAACAATCATAGCCCATTATTCTATCCAGAGATCATTCAACGCCTTGATTTCTGAACTGAGACTTTGCTGCTTGGCAAATAAATTGCTACGCACTACCTTCAAACAGGAACCTTTTCTGTTGGTAAGTTCCGAAGAAAAACCACTGCACGTTGGGTTTACAAAAGGAGGCTGGATTAACAGGGCCTCTTCTTTAAAAAAAAATAAAGTCATAAGAAGTGATTGTTCCATTGGGAAAAGGACAGTCTTGATGAGTAGATAGCTGCATCTGGCATCATAGCCAAGCACTTTCTTCAACCTAAGATTGTAGTTCCCTGCACGTCCATCTGGAAATAAGGCTGACTTACCTGAGAACTCAAAAAGCAGTCAAACACTAAAACACAAAATGCAGATTGCTTAAAATATGCAAGGATTCACGATCACATTTCCCCAGGAAAAAACATTGCTAGCACAAAAAATCTCAGCCCCCCCAAATTCTTTTCATTTCTTTTGGGACAGAAGGAAGCGGCGTACTTTTGGAGGACAATAAAATGCTTAGCTCACAATGATTGAGAAGATTGGAGCACCATTCCTGAGAAAATTATTATGGTATGATTTTGCTTGAAAGAATGTCCTTGAGAAAAGAATGATGCCAGGAAAAGAAGCCAGAATGTCAACATTGGTTTTAGGCCTTTAAAAAAAGGGAAGAAAAAGAGTCTGTGGGATGAGTAGAAAGAAAGAGAGAAGGAGGAGCAGCGAACATTTTAGAAGGATGAAAAGATATTATCTACTGTGGCTTTTTGTCCATCCACCAAGAAATTGTGCTGACTTGCAGCCACTGTGAACTCCCACAATTGTGGTCTTCCTGGCTGGGAAGTGACCCAAACTGTACATTTGGAGAAGCCATTTAAGAATGTCACAAGTAGTAAGACTTAAAGAGAAGGAAACAGCAGGCCTTTTTATTACAGATACGAAGTCCCAGGTGAAGTCATCCAAGGTGACACAGAACACACAAAAAAATGGCTTTTGTTCCTTTAAGGGAAATTGCAAAGGGAAGAGGTCCAGGATACTGCAGAAGGAAGAAGAAAGGAGCACCAGGGTAAATTCCCAAGGCCTCGGGAATTACAGTGAGCTGGGAAGCGTCTGGGAAAGTGATGCCTTACAGAATCCTAAGGAGAATGGCAATTGCTAGCTTTGTAAGAAAAGAAATAAAACGATCTGAAACTTCATCCTTCAAATGGTTCCACATCGCTTTTTCTCTGCCAAGGGAGGGGGCAGTTAAAAACTTCCAATGCTCCTGGGAAATTCCTCCAGCAAAACTTCCGGCCCAGCAGATCCACAGAGCATCGAGGTCCAAGAGGGGTGGGGCGGGGGGCTCCCTTAACTCAGCAGCAGCCAGGCCTGGAGTCAAAAGGTGGATTGACCGATCCCTCACACCATAACAAAGGAACACCCTCCTGCCTGCTGAAAAAGGAGCTGGCATGCTTAGGAGAAACCACACTCCCATGATTAAGAAGCCTTCGAATATATTTTTTTTAAAAAAAGAGGATTAAAAAGCAAAATAAAGAGATAGTGATGAGAGGATGAGAGGGGAGGGGGCAGCGAGAGGGAAATCAAGAGCCTGATTTTATGCCTGGAAGAGGGAAGGAGAAGGGGTCACTTTACAGGAGATTTTACAAGATTTCTGACTTTTAGAGGAGGCAAATCCAGACACCCCCCCAATCTTATGCAAAAGATCCCCCTGCGTGGAAGAGGGAGAGCAAGGATCACTTTAGGTTTTAGGAGATTTCTCCCCCCCCACACACACACACATACTTTTTGAGGGGGCAAATAGGGACCTCCATTTTTTTGCAAAAGACCCCCAAGTATGGAAGGAGGAGAACGGATCACTTTAGATTACTTTTTTTAGGATACTTCTGCCACTTTGGGAGGGGGCAAACAGGGACTCCAATGGAAGAGGAAGAAGGGATCACTTTGGGGAGATTTCTGCCACTTTGGCAGGGGGCAAACGGGGCCTCCAATCTGATGCGAAAGATCCTCCCTTGCGTGGAAGAGGGAGGAGAGGATCACTTTGGATCAGATTCGGGGAGATCCCTGCCACTTTTGGAGGAAGCAAACGGAGACACTGATCTTCCGCAAAGGATCCCCCACCCCACCCGCATGCTTGAGGGAGGCCGAAGAGATCCCATGTTGTTAGATCACAAGAGATTCCTGCCCCTTTTCGAGGAGGGGGGAAGATGCAACGCCTCCCCTCCAAGCCAGGAAAGGCGGACCGACGAGCCAAGAGTCCCAGCCCCACTTCCGCGATGCCCCCTCCCGAAGACGGGACCGGCCGGGGGGGGAGCAGGCTTCCTCCAGGCCTGATCGCCCCCCAAGGAAGAGCCAGGCCCGGCTGGAGGGGGCCCAAAGGACATCGGGGGTCCGGGGGGCCCTCCACGTGCCCTGCCGGGGGAAAGAGACCCCCCCAGTCCGCCCCTCGGCTCCTTTGCCCCCCGAGGGCCGAGGCGAGGCCGGCGGGCCCGGGAGGAAACAATGAAGCGGCGCTTCCTCGAGGGGGAAGCAGCCTCGCCCGGGCAGGAAGGGCCGGCGCTGCTCGCGGGGGGGGAGGGGGGAGGGGCCTGCCGGGGCTTCCCGGGCCTCGGATGAGTGGCGAGGCCCGTCGGAAGGCCCCAGGAGCGACGATGGATCCGGGCAAGGTCGGGGGAAAAAAACACCTTTCCCCCCTTCCGGGGTCTTGGCCGACTTTGGCCTCGCCCGGCCCGGCTTGGCGCGCTACGCGAGTCCCCGGCTTCAGCCCGGCCGACTAGGCCGCGGCGGAGGCGCTCCGGACCGGAACTCCCCGCCTCCTCACGCCCCCTTCCTCCCCGTCAGGCCGGCCGGGAAAAGGGTCCCCGGAGCCCCCGGCCGAGCCGCCCGCCACGCCGGATACCCGCCTCCTCCGCCGCCGCCGCGCCGTCGCCGGTTCCCGGGATCGCCTCATAAAAGTAAAGCGGGGATTAACGGGGGAGGCGGAGGGAGGAGAAGGGGGCGGGGCCGGCTCTTAAAGGGGCCGCGCGCCATTTCTCCTCAGAGTTTCTCTCTCTTTTTTTTTTACCTCAGCCGCCGCCGCCGCCGCCGCCGCCACACGCACACTGACAACTGAAGCCAGCGCGGGCGCGGCGCCGCCCCCTCAGCCACGTGACGCGCGGCGGCGGGGGGGCGGGGCCGCACGCGCGAGGTGGGGCGTCAGGTGGCCGCGGCACGCCCCCTTCGCCCGCGGGCCAGCGCCAGCGCGCCTGCGTGGCAGGGGAGGGAGGGCGAGAAGAAGAAAAGGAGGCGCGTTACCCCGTCCCTCCCTGTTTGTTTTCCTCGGCTCTCGCCCCGCCCCCGAGCACGTGACTCTGTTTGGATCCCTCTCTCTCTCTCTCTTTTTTTTCCCTCCCCCCCATCTCTCGTCTCGTCCCCCGCAACCTAACCAACCTTTCTCCTTTTCCAGCCTGGGGGTGGAGAAAGTGAAAGATTTCGGCTGTATACTTCCGGTTCCTGTGCGACAGGCATCCCACGATGCGGGGCTGGCCACGCAAGCAAAGCATCGGCAAACGGGCAAAGTCTCTACCGATGCTTTGCGAGGAGTTTATTTACTCATTCGTCTCTGCCCGGGCTAATTTTAGATCTTGGGCGGTGGAGAGAATTTTTCTATCGTTCGGGAGGCCTGCCCCGCATGTTCCATTGAGAACCGGACGTGTTGAACCCAGAGAACGCCTCTTAGCCTCCTTTACTCTTTGGCTTTCCAATATGGTCGCCCGAGAACGCCTTTCTCTTCGTGGTTCCCCCCTGCTTCCGGTCAGCTGACCTCAGCTTCCTTTCTCTCACCCCTTGCCCACCTCGCAGGCGGGGGGGCGTGGCCAGAGCCACGTGACCGGGCGCGGGCGGCTCCGGCGGCGGCCATGTTGTGCGGCCCTGAGGGCGGCCGGGCCAGGAGCCTCGCCGGGCTATGGCGGGCTCCGCTTCCTCCCCCGTCGCCGCCGCCGCCTCTTCTTCCTCCTCCTCTTCTTCTTCTCCTCCCTCCTCCTCCTCCTCGCCGGTCCCGTCCAGCAACTGGCTCTCCGGGGTCAACGTGGTGCTGGTGATGGCCTACGGGAGCCTGGTGAGGCCAATCCGCTCCCCTGGGCCGCCGCCTTTCGCCTTCGCCCTTCCCTCAGGCGGGCTGGGACTACACTCCCCATCGCCCCCAGGAGAGGGGGAGAGCGGGCTTCTGGTCCTCCTGGTTCGGGGATGGGAAGGGGGGAAGGAAACCGGTGCCCTGGACTGGGGAGGGGGTGGGGGGCGCCGTGGGCGATGGGCTTTGTAGTGCGGGAGAGAGAGGGGGGGTGTCTTGGGCGATGGGAGTTGGAGTTCTACAGCCGGGGTTTGGAGAGCGGAGGCCTGAGATCATCCGTTTGATTTATTACAGTACATAATATTACGTGCATAAAATTTATGTCGGTGTTATTGTAAGAATCGCCTGGCAGGGCAGATTTAATTCTGAATAAACAATGTAGAAAAATCTTAATAGAATAGAATATAGAATAGAATAATAGAATAGGATATAGAATAGAATAATAGTGCAGAATAGAATATAGAATAGTAGAAAATAGAGTAGAGAATAGAACAGAGAATAGAATAGAACTGGAATGGGCGTCATAAAGATGTAATATTAAATATAAATGAATGAATAAAAATACTGCTTTTATGGTCTGGCATAGCCGGATGTGAAGACTGGATTTGGCCTTTTAGAGTCCATTCCTATTATTATTATTATTATTTATTCATTACTCTTCTTAGTCTTCGTTATTACTGTTTAGTGCCACAGAATTAATTATGAATATACTAGAGTAATATATGTTAATGATATAAGTTAATATTGTTACTCTGTTACCTGTATACCTTGTCACACAATCAGCCAGATGTTTAGACTGGATTTGGCCATTTGGAGTCTTTCCTATTACTACTTCTACTATTATTATGATTATGATTATTACTATTATTATTTCTTTCCTGGTTTTCCTCGGGGTTCAAACTTTTCTCTGGGATTCAAACCTTCTAGGGCCATCCCCACCACACCCCTGCAAGGTAGGCTAGGCTGCCCCTCCTTGCAGCTGGGGAGGGTCCCCTCTTCGCATCAGGAGCCCCACCAACCCTACCTTTGCCTCCTCTCCAGGTCTTCGTCCTGCTCTTCATCTTCGTCAAGAGGCAGATCATGCGATTCGCCATGAAGTCTCGCCGGGGCCCCCATGTGCCGGTGGGCCAGCACGCCCCCAAGGTAGGTGGGTGGACAAGCCGGTGTCTTTTCCTGTCTGGATGGCGGGAGATCCTCCTCCTCTCTGGAAACACCCCTGCCTGCTAGCTCTGATGATGTAACCTACTTGGGTCATGAAACTTCTGCAAGAAAACCACCCACTCAGAGAGCACCAAGGACCCCCTCATTTCAACCTTGAGCTCCGAATATTCTCCTTTGTCGACGGCTCCAGGGCATGTTATAATCTGCAACCGCGGGAGCATCTCCATAATTATATTTCTGCCGGTCTTGGCTGCTTCCTAACAGATACGTTTGCGGTGGCAGGCAGCCAAATCCATCAGAAATTGCTCCCCCAGTCAGGAGCAATCTATCTTTAAACACAAGGTGGCAGAGTCCGAACGGGAGATTTGCGAAACTCATCCTTGTCTCCTCTCTCTTCTTTCCATTCTTTTCTCCTCTCAGGGACTCAAGGAGGAGATTGACATCCGACTGTCCCGGGTTCAGGACATCAGATACGAACCCCGGCTGTTGTTCTACAGTGACACTCGGCTGCTACAACTGGAGTCGCCTAGAAACCCATGTACTTGGACCCTGGACCCTGGAGTGGGTGGGTGGGATGAGGGCAGCAGCCTGGGAGCTCTGGTCCCAACTAAGCTTCCTCCCTTTCCATTTCAGTCCCTTACGACTACGTGTATCGGATGAAAGCTTTGGATGCTGTCAGAGAAGCAGGTAAGAACAGTGAAGTGTCCAGCAGGGCAACAAGGGGTCCATTGTTTTGCACTTGGCTTCAGTTTAGCTGCCAGGGGCTACCTGGGGTGTAAGAAGATAATCCGAGGAGGGGGCTTCCCATTTTGGAAACGGCCTTTGAGGGTGCTCTGTTTGGAGAAACTTTGGTTTGTAAAGATGACTTCATTAGACGTGTCTAATGACTCCAGGAGCTAGCGTGGTGTCAGTTCAAGGCATCAGGCTAGATACCAGGAGGAAATGAGTTCTAGTCCAGCCTTAGACATGAAAGCCGGCTGGGTGACTTTGGGCCAATCACCAGGAGATGGTGAGTTATAGTCCCGCCCTAGGCATGAAAGCTGACTGGGTAACTTTGGGCCAATCATCAGGAGGCTGTGAGTTCTAGACCCGCCTTAGGCTTGAAAGCCGGCTGGGTGACTTTGGGCCAGTCACCAGGAGGCTGTGAGTTCTAGTCCCACCCACTACAGGATTCCACAAAGCCAGTCAACCCAGGCTCCTGGCCTCCTTGCCAGGCGTGTCGTGTGAGCGTGTCTCTCGTGTGCTTCCCTCCGCAGAGATCCCCTACTCCATGGAAGGCAGGTACCCCAAGTTGCTCATTGAGAAGAACTTCCAGGCTTACTTGCTTGATCTCCGCAACTCCAGCAGCCCTTTGAAGGGGCTCCGAAAGACTCTGATCGATGCCCTCCTGGACGGCTACGAGGACGCCCGCTACGGGACCGGGGTGAGTGCCCGTTGCCTTCCAGGGCTGGAGCGTGGCTGGGGAGGGGGCTGGTCCTATCGTGGCCATTGACCCTTCCAGTTCAGGCAGCTTTTAAAGATGGGTGGGTTTGCTTCTCCCCCCCCTCTCTTTCTGCCACAGACCTTCAGCAGAGCGGAATTCCTGAAGTTCCAGGAGGCCCTGCGCGAGCTGGCAACGATGTAAGTTGGCCGAGGGGCTGCGGTTGAGGGAAGGGGCAGGATAAGAAGAGTCAGAAGGGACCCCGGAGGTCTTCTAGTCCAACCCCCTACTTGAGCAGGAGACCTTATTATGCCATTCCAGACAGGTCCAGTCTCTTCCCTTGAAAACCTCCAGTGATGGGAGGAAGGAAGGAAGGAAGGAAGCTGGGGGAAGGGAAAGGAATTGAGAAGGGAGGGAGGGAGGGAGGCAGGGGGAAGGGAGGAAGGAAGGAAAAAAGTAAAAAAGAATGGGTAGGGACAGCAGAATCACAATTGGAAAGGGCCTCAGAGGTCTTCTAGTCCAACCCCCTGCTCAAGCCCCTCCTCCTCCCTCAGCCTCAAGGCCCGGGGCGAGAGCAGCCAGCGGCAGCACCAGTCGGCGGCCAAGGACCTGACCCTCTTGCCGGACCTCTCCAGCCCCACCATCCAGGTCACCTACCTGCCCTCCAGCCACAAGAGCAAGCGGGCCATGCACTTCCTGGAGCTGAAGAGTTTCAAGGACAGCTACAACACCCTGGAGAGCACCCTGTGAAGCTCCCACCTGCGCTAGGGGGGGCAGGGGGCGGGCTCCGATTCCCCCCCAAAAAAAATCTGGACCAAACCAACCTGGCTGCCTCTGCCCAGGCTTGGCTGCCCCTCGCGGCCCGTCCCTTGCTGTGAAAAGATTCTGGGGTGGGCAGGGCGGAGAAGACTCCCCCCCACACACACTTCCTTCCGGCCTCCGAAGCTTTGTAAATCACCCTGTTTTTCTTTTCATATTTTTTTTTTTAAATCTTGCCTCTTGTTTATTGACAAAAGACTCGTTTCTCCCAGCATGCCGAACAAACCGAGATCGGGCCAGAGATCAAAGTTCGGGTGAGACTTTTCAGTCTCGGTCTGGTTTATTTATTCCTCCTTCGAGGCCGCCCCGGCGGACGGTTCTTGGCTTTTCCCTGTTTAAAAAAAAAAAATAACAATAAAAACAAATCGTTATCTCCAAACTAATCAGCTTGGCAACTGGACCTCTCAACTCGGGGCCGATTGTTGCACGGAGCCAGCTGACTGCCCAGCCGGAGGGCTCGTCAAACAAGAACGGGGGGGGGGGAAGGGGGGTGTTCCATTTTTGAAGCCGTCTTGTCACTAAGTGGAATCAGGCATCTGTGTGATGCGTCCGTATTGGGGGGGGCATCAAAGCGCCAAGGTCAACGGGGAAGCCGGGAAGAGCGTGAAAAGCTTCACTGGGTGGTTGGGAGCCTCCCCAGTCTAACCAGTTGACCCCATCCAGGGGTGGGGGGGACATGGATGTGGTTCTTCCTGGCCAGCTGTCCCTTCTTCAAGGTCAATGGGATGTGTCCACTCAACCGTGTGCACTCAACTTTGTTCCGGGGGAACAATGACCATCATCGGACGAAGCGAGAGATCAATAAACTAGCATTCTAGCTACGCCAGTGATGGAACAAGGCTGGTGGGAATGGGGGACGGAGAAGAATGAGCGTCGCACTAATGTGGGAGGACGCCTGACAATAATTAGCTGAGATGAATCGAACGTCGCGTGTTCTTTCCAAAATAGACCCATTATGTTGGACAGGGCTTCTTTTAGGAGAAGAGTGGCGATTTTTTTCCATCCTGGTTTAGTTGAAATAAACAGGTTTATTTCTCTGTCGGCAACGGTTTCCACATTCCCCCCTGCAAAGCTATTTTTTTTTCTCCCTTCTCAACCTTCCTGTTGAAAATGGTTTTCCGGCAAGCCACGAATGTTAGTTCAGGGTAAAAGTAAGTTGGGCATTAGGGTAAGGTGCTAGGAAGATAATTTGGCCGGTCAATGGTGACTTCACAGCAGAAATGTTTAAAGCTTTCTCAAACTTTATGAGAGTATATATTTTTGAATAAAAGTGGTGCGTTCAAGGAGATCATCGGGGAAATAAATTATAAGTTCAATTAAAAAGAAATAAATATTCTGTCCAGTTGTGGCTTTGTTGTTCCTATGTTTTCAAAGCTATAAATGAAATGTGAGATAAATTGATCCAGGTTTCGTTTTTTAAGCTGGGGTACCAATTCCTGCAAACGTCTCTAACGAATTCGCTTTAATAAGACTTCTTTCAAGCACAGTTAGGCTGAATTATCCCAATTCGTTAATTAAGAGCCAGTGTGCTTTTGAAAAGTGGAAAGCTGGTCTGGTTTATACACCCATCTTTAAAAAAAAAAAAAAGCTTTGAAATAAAGAATACATTGACACTAATCTGGTTTTTATTTATTAACTGGACTAGCCCTTTAGAGATGTCTTTATGTTCTACAAATATTTTGCAGAGAAATGTCGAATAATACATGAAAACTTTATAATTCTGAGATAGTTGCTGGCATATTCTTATACAAGCCCACCAGTTTATGGATGTATTTTAATTTAATTATTTATTTTTTATTATTTTATTTTATTTTTATCTGCATTCTTTTTCCCTCTTGAATTCTGCCACTTGATCCTGCTTCTCTTTCTGGAGGTTCAGCTAAATCTCTTCTCTGGAAACGTGTAGCTTTAGAAGTGGGATCCCACAAAGAGTTTGGAGCCCACCAATGTCCCCCCCTTTTTTCTCCCTCCCCCCCCCCGCCAAAAAAGGGGAAAAATAAGATTGCTGGGCACCTGAATTTAAAGCTCTCTCTCTCTCTCTCTCTCTCTCTCTCTCTCTCTCTCTCGTGTAAAAGTAGGGTAGCCGTTCCAGGGCATGGAGAGATGTTGATGGGCTATTGACAAAACTCAAGAGATGGGACAAAAAAAAAAATCAATTGGATAATTGATCTCAGGGAGCGTAAGGGGCACAGCCCCTGCCCTCTAGGGTGCCCGAGGGTAGCCAGAGACGGTTATAAAGGAGGGAGGCTGGCCAAGCGGCAGAGGGATGCCGAGAACGGGCACGATGCAGGTGAGAGGGAAAATTTAGCACAGGTGTGGGCGAGGGGGCGTCTTCCCCTTGTGCAGCTGGAAAAGCAGACTGGGAGAATAAAAGGGTCAAGGAAATCTACCAAATGTGGGGCTTCTCCTGGCACTGGATTTAAACTGGGGGTGAGTTTGGTGCCCACCAGCAGCAATTTTGGGCGGAATGAAAATCTCTTGCTGGCTTTATTGGCAGGGCGGGGGATTCTCTCCCGTTTTCTGGGCTTGGTCCCAAAATTAATTTAGGAGGCAGCAGGTGCTGGCAGAGGCTTGTAAATCTGCAGGTGGAGAGAGTGCCCACGGATGGTCTGGGTTGGATGTTTAAAGGTAGACTGCACTGGCATGCAGAGGTTCCCTTTTGCTGCCGGAATTAATAATTTTTCTCTCTGAGTGTGGCAGTCACGTTCTGAAGGCCATCTAAGAGAACATATAAATCAAGTTGAGAGCTTTACATCTTTCCGTATCTCTTTCTCCCTTCCTTCCTTCCTTCCCTTTCATCCTCTTCCCTTCCTTCCCTATCTATCCATCCATTTCCTTCCTTCCCTACCGCCTGTCTTCTTCCTTCCTTCCTTCCTCTCTCTTCCCTTCCTTCCCTATCCATCCATCTTCCTTCCCTTTCTCTTCCTTCCCTCCCTCCCTCCCTCCCTCCTTCCTTCCTTCCTTCCTTCCTTCCTTCAAACCAAGTCCACTTCATCTGGTTTCCCAGAAAAGTTGTGGCACAACAGGTTATCTAAATCCACAGGTTAAATGCAGTGTGAGGTTTCAGCTGAAAGGTGCCATGTTTTCCAAACGAAAGCAGCCACGTTTTGTGCAGTGACACTCAAGCGTTGACCGGCAGCCCTTGACTCACAACCCTGTTCCCCTAACTTAACAACTGCAGCAATTGCCTTAACAACATGCAACGAGCAAGTTCATAAAACCCGCTGAACAACTGCCTCACTTAGCCACGCAAATGTTGGGCTCCACTGCGGATACAAGTCGTGTAAAAAGACTCATAACTTGATGGGAACTTAATTCACACAGATGATGTTTGTGAGTCCATCTACCCCAAATTGCGGTGATCTTTAAGTGTGTGTGTCTCTCTCTCTTTTTTGCAGTTCCATCCTGGCCTGGAAAAGTCCCCTCAGCTTTGGGCGCCCGGCTTTTCGCTCCCCGGCCTCTATCTGATATGTTTGATATTAGGTTGTTCTACTGTGAAACCCAACTAAATATCAAACATATTCCGAGAGCGGCCGGGATTGTTCGACCAGCATCAAGAGCGCCCACCGGAAGAGAGAGAGCTGGGTCAGTTCGGGGTCTTTCAAACCCCCTTCCTGGGTCTGGACGGAATTTTTCCAATCTGGGTGTTTGGGAATTGAATTCTCACCACAGGGAAATGCTTCCCCAGCATTGAAAAAGGAGAAAAAATGTAAGAAAATGACTCAAAATCTCCAGAAGTTGTGAATGCTCCAACGTTGGAAGTTTTTAAGAAGAGACTGGACTGGACTGTCTGAAATGGTAGAGAGTTTCCTGCCTGAGCAGGGGGCTGGACTAGATGACCTCCAAGGTCCCTTCCAACTCTGTTGTTCTGCTCTTCTTTTTTCCTTCCTTAATTCCTGAAGCTTCAAAAGCCATTCAGTTCTATTCAGTTTTAGGGGGGGTGCACCCCGTTTTTTTGCCTCTAGCAAGAGAAGGGGGGGTTGAGATGCACCCGGATGTGGACCCTGATTATTTTTATTTAGGCTAATTTTTGCAATGTCCCGCCTCCGCCTGCCCTACTCGGCCTGGCCACCAGAGGGCAGGCTAATTATCCCCTTTGCAATTCCGCTTTCCTTGAAGAGCTAGATTTTTGCTTGCAAGCCTCAGAGCTGAGGATGGTTTTTATTTTTCCTAATTTGGCTTTCTCAGGAGAAAATTAAAAGAGATTTTTGAGTCTTTGATGAAAGAAGTATATCTCACTTTAATTGGGGGGGGGATGTTTGACAATTGGAATGGTTTATGACGAAATACTGTGTATTATTGCTAATTTTAGAGACACCTCATCTTTGGATCTGTTCCAAAGAGACTCGGAACTTATTCTTTTTTCTATCCTATTCCTTCTTTTCCTTTTTCGACTTCTAATCTTCCCGTTCTTCGTTTTCCCAACTCTCTCTCGTTCGCCGGTTTCTTAGATTTCACTTTTTTTGTGGAAACTGAATAAAGTTAAAAACAAACCAAGAACAACAACAAAAAAAAAGAACTGTCCCTTCCCCCCCCCGGATCTTACAGAACTGGACCCGCCTGAGAGGCTGGCTAAGCCGTGGCTTGTTTGATCGTGGCTTATGAAATAAAACCCCAACGGGTTGGGTTGGGGCTGGAGCCACGAGTGCCGTCGTAACTCCGAATGCCGTAAATTGAGGACCACCCGGAGCCCTCTCTGTTCTAGCAGGAGACGTCCGTGAAGCTGCAGACAAGTGCAGCTGGGAGGGGGTCCCCCAAAGGTCATCTAGTCCACCCTCTGCAATGTGCAGGGAAACCAGTTCCAGCATCCGCCGTGCTCGGCTTTCGGGGAGACCGTCCTCCCTGCCCTTCTTTCCTCTCCGGGAACAAAGCTTTCCCCCCCCCCATAGCCCTGCCCCTCCTGCTGGCCTTTTTCCCCACTTTGGGAAGTCTATTAGTAGCAACCAGCTGTCCACCCAGTGGGGCCAAATATGGCCATTGTCCTCAGCCTGCAAACATCTCCCTCGGCCTCGGAGGACAATGGAGGAGGGAGGGAGATTGGGGGGGTGTCCCTGGAGAAGGATCTCGCCCCCTCCCCGGGTGGTCAAATCCCAGAAAGGGAAGACTGGTGCGCCAGCTTGAAGGAGGGGGCCCTTATAAAAAGAGCAGAGGGGGCGATCAGCCGATTGCAATCGCCCCCCGTGCCACTTTGCCCATCGGTCCGGCTTCTCCGCTCGTTCGCCCGCGTGCCCACCGCCCTCCGGCACCATGGAAGCCATCAAGAAGAAGATGCAGATGCTGAAACTGGACAAGGAAAATGCCTTGGACCGGGCAGAACAAGCCGAGACGGAGCAGAAACACGCCGAGGAGAGAAGCAAGCAGGTGGGGGCCAGGATAAACCTGGTTTAGAGAGAGAAAAAGAGCGAAAAAGGCGGCTTGAGGACTAGCAGCTTGAGGCTTCCGAAACCTAGACCGCCTTGGCTCGCCCGGATGCAGCAATTTCCTCTTTGCTTTGGGTCTGTCCTACCTCACGGGGCTGTTGTGTCGCTCCAGGGAGGGTATGGACAGACAGAGAATCTGTCTTTTGAGAGTCAGACCAACTTCAGGTTTTATTTCTCTCTTCTTGCTTGGGGTAAATAAGTTCTTGATTCAGGACTGAGCCCAGAAAATTTGGCTAAAATCCAATGTTTTTCCCAAATTCCAGATAAAAAAACCCCCCAAAAAACCTGGCTTAGGTTTGTCCTATAAAGGAATCTGGGATTTAGATTAAAGTAACGATCTGGTCCTCAATCCCAGCAATCTCCAATTTGGGAAACCTTGCATTGACAGGAACCACCGTGAGCTTATAAGTCTTCAAAAAAAAATTTAGCAGGAATATTCCTGCCTTTATTAAAATCTCTCTTGCAATCTTAAGCTACATTAAAGCTTTTACCGGGAAAGAAAACTTTTCTCAAAAACGTCTCGGCTTCAGAGGGCTGGGAGAAAATATTGAAAAGAGCCAAGAAAACTTTATTTTTCCATCTGTTCTTTTTGACAAAACGTTTAAATATAAATTAGATGGGCAAGCCAATCTCTAAAACTGCCCATCAAAAATCCCCTCCACTGGGTAAACTGGTCAAACTGGACTGAAGGGTAAACTTGAAAAGATCAGTCCTCTCATTTTTAATATTTTCTTATCCGTGCTTTGGAGAAAAAAGAGGAGAGAACGCCAATCGGAGTTGGAGACCCCCTTCCCCAATTTAGGCAGGCGAAGGAAAACCTCAGATGATTGATCCGCAAAATAAGTTAAAAGCCGGCAAATAAATTTCACCCAAAGCTCCTTTTTATAAAACAGAAACGAAAGGCTTAATTCTTTGATTAGGGATTCGGCTTGTACTCGGGAGATGTGCAAAAGATTTGGGAATAGTTTTTGTCCACTGTCGAAGTGGCTTCAGGAAAAATAAATACAGCAATTTTAAATTGCCTTAGAAATGACGTAATAAATCTATTTTCTTCGAAGCCGCATCAACAAAAGGGTAACCAAGGGAGGGAACAAATCTATTTTATTTTATTTTTTTACTTTGGGTGGACCGTGCCTTTTAAGGTTCTGACTTCCAGGCGTTTAAAAAAAAAATATCAGAAAAAAGTTGGCATGCAGTCCGAGAAAGGGAACGAACGAGGCTGAACAGGAGATTAGCAATTAAGCTGAAAAATGGAAAGTGCTGGCGTCTTTTAGCCTTGAGCAAAGACAATTGAGGGTAGATGGGATGGACATTTATTTTTATTTTTATTTCTTTATTAAACTCGTTTGGTTCCCATCTTGCTACCAGGTCTTTGGAAAACAACAGAAGGAAGATCAGGGCAAAAATGTCTTCTCATTCATTCTAGAGGGCAGGAGAGAAAATAATGGAGGTTAAGTTAATTTAAGTGAATTAAGTCGAGTTGAGTTGAGTTAGTAAAGTAAAATTAAGTAAATTTTAAGATAAGTTGAGTTGACTTGAGTTGACTTGAATGGAGTTAATCAAGTAAAATTAAGCTGAGTTTGTAAGTAAAATAAAGTAAAATTTAAGTTGGGTTGAGTTGAGTTATGTTACATTAATAGGGTAAAATTAAATTGAGTTAAGCTAGTAAAGTAAAATTAAGTTGAGTTGAGTTTGTAAAGTAAAATTAAGTTGAGCTGAGTAAACCTAATGTAACTCAACTTAATTTTAGTTAAATTAACTTAAGAAGTTACTGCAGATTTTTATGTTAGAAAAAATTATATTCCTAAGACTAAAGAGGGGGTGGAGAGTGGCAGGAATGTCCCAGAAAGATGATGGCCTTTTTCTCTTTGAATGTGGAGCTGGACAGTCACTTGGCATGGGTGCTGGAATGTGAAGATGGGCTGAGCAGGGGGTTAGACTAAGTGGCCTCAGGTAACCTTGCCAACATTGGGACACTAAATTAATTGATTGTGAGCTTAGCCACAAGACTGTTTCTCCAGGGATGAGAGAAGAGAGGAAGCGGATATGAGAGACAGAGAGACAGAAAGGGAGGGAGAGAGACAGAAGGAAGGAAGGAAGGATTAGAGGAGGCAGGAAAGATGGATTAGAGGGGGAAGGAAGGGAAAGAAAGAAAGAGGGAAGGAAGGAAGGAAGGAAGAAGGAAGGAAGGAAAGAAGGAAAGAGAGAGTGAAACAGAGAGACAGAAAAAGATAGAGTTTCCGAGCTACTGCAAAGTGCACTTAGCCCTCTTTGTTCTGATTGCTTTGCAAATCCATGCCTTTAACCTAAGAGTTGGGGCTGAGTTATTCCTCCTTCTTCTCCTTCTCCCCCTTGGCAGTTTTGAGCGCGTTCTGCACATGTTCAGAGGCTCCCTCTGCTCTTTGCCCTTTGCCACCTGGGGAGTTTTCTCCCCGGTCCGTGTTTAAGAAACACAACATCAAGAAGCATTTTAACATTTCGCTGCAGCTGTCATGTGCCGTAAACCTGTGCGCACTCGGCATATGCTCAGAGACCACCCTGTGATTTTTTTTGCTGAGACACTCGGAGAGCACATTCTGAGATCTGATCACATTCATCTCGGTGTGGATGGCTGCGGGAGGGGGGCAGAAAGCCACATGTTGGCATAACGGGGTGGGCAGCCGGAGTGGCGTGGCACCCTGTGGGCAGTGAGAAAGACCATGCAAAGCTCATGTCCGGTTGCTTATTTGGTCCGGCTGAGCAAAGCCTTGGCAGGGAAGAGATGGAAGGGAGGGGAGGGGGGGTCATACTCTGCGGGGTTTTGGGGTGAGCGTGCAGCTGACAATAGACTGGGGGGGCTCCTTCCCTGCCTGGTTTTTATTTCCAGGCAAAGCTCAGGTTACACAATGACACACGCACACACACACAGAGAGGAAGGAGATTAGCTGGCACAGATTTGATGGGGACGAACTGCCCTCTGATCTCAGTGGGCAAAGCTGCAGCCTCCTTGGATGGCCGGCCATAAGAATGAGGCTGTTCCCGTTATTGGGATATTTTAATGAGTGTAGTTTTCATATTTTAATTATCTTCCTACTCCTGTCTTTGTGAACTGTAAGCCAGAATACAGAATACAGAATAAAATAGAGAAATGAAGAATAGAATAGAATAGAATAGAATAGAATAGAATAGAACAGAGTAGAGTAGAGTAGAGTAGAGTAGAGTAGAGTAGAGTAGAGTAGAGTAGAGTAGAATATAAATAATAATAGAATAGAATATAGAATTTGGAATATGAATAGAATAGGAATAGAATATAGAATAAAATAGAATAGAATATAGAATTTGGAATAGGAATAGAATAGGAATAGAATATAGAATAGAATGGAATGGAATGGAATGGAATGGAATAGAATAGAATAGAATAGAATAGATGGATGGATGGAAGGGGGAAAGGAAGAAAGAAAAAAGATGGGAGGGAGGGAGGAAGGAAGGGGAGGAGGAAGAGAGGGAGGGAGAAGGAAGGAAGGGGAAGGTGAGGAGGAAGAGGGAGAAGGAAGGAAGGAAAGAAGGAAAGAAGGAAAGAAGGAAGGGAAGGAGACGGAGGGAGGGAGGGATAGGGAAGGACAGAAGGATCCGGACAGAGAACCCCCCCCCCCACTTTCCCAGCAGACGCCCACGGCCCGTTTGGGACCCCCATATAACCCATTTCCCCCTTTCCTTTCCTGTCCTCCCCCCTCGCAGCTGGAAGACGAGCTGGTCGCCATGCAGAAGAAGCTGAAAGGGACGGAAGACGAGTTGGACAAATATTCGGAGGCCCTGAAAGACGCTCAGGAGAAGCTGGAAGTGGCTGAGAAAAAGGCGGCCGACGTATGTATGAAACGGGGGGGGGGGGGGAACAGGCTGGAGGTGCTGGAGAGGAGGAAGGCTAAGGGCCGCCTCTGCAGGACTACAACAAAGGGCTGGACTACAATACCCAGATGCCCCAGCCGAGCCCAGAGAGAGTCCGGTCCTCTTTATAGGTAGTCCTCGGCTTACGGCCACAACTGGGATGCCGCTTCCATCTCTCAAAATGAGTCTCATCGTAGGGACCGTCCCCACATTTATGACTTGATTTTTTGGGCTGCGGTCCTTCAGCCAGTCCCTGCAGTTCTTAAGAGAGTTGGAATGGACCTTGGAGGTCATCCAGTCCAACCCCCTGCTGAGGCAGGAGACCCCACCTAAAACATTTCGGACAAGCGGCTGTCCGGCCTCTTCTTAAAAGCCGAAGGACAGCCTCGTCCTTCGCCTTGGCAGCAGGCGTGTCTCCCCTGCCTATAAATGGAGGCCCAAGGGAGAATGTCACTTGAGGTTGAGCAGGGAAGGCCCCGTCGACGGCCGAGCTCCTTGTCACAAAGTTGGCGGGCCTTTCCCAGGCCAACCCGGCCTCGGTTTCCTCCCTGTAGGGCTGGCTCAGCCATCTGTCACGCACCGAAGGGCTGTCAGCGCCCTGTGCAGCTGTTGGGTGCCATTCAGAGGGGATCAGCTGTGTACAGATTTATCACCCCAAAGTATTTGGATGGACCCACCGGCTGTCATCGCCTCCGAGGGGGGGGCTTCTACCTGGAGGGGGCGCCATTGGACTGTTCTCCATTGGGGAGGGGGAGAATGTGAAGAGAGAGGGGTTGAGTTTTGGGGTGCTTAAATACAGGTCAGACCTTGACCTACAGCCACAATGGAGGTCTACATTTCTGTGGCTAGGTGAGACATTGGTTGAATAGGACAGGACAGGACAGGACAGGACAGGACAGAATAGAGGAATAGAACAGAACAGAACAGAACAGAATAGAATAGAATAGAATAGAATAGAATAGAATAGAATAGAATAGAATAGAGGAGTTGAAGTCCACCCCTCTTAAAGCAGGCTGGCTGGGGAATTATGGGAGTTGAAGTCCCCCCATCTGGAAGCTTCCGTGGTGGAGAAGCCCTGAGGGAGATGCCAGCTGGCAAGGAAAGCGAAGCGTCTTTCCTTAGGCATGCCAGCCATGCAGAGAGGAGACCCTGAAGAGGGTGTGAATCATCTCGAGAGGACAGCCTGGCAGGGCGAGGAATGCTTGGCGGTTCTCGGAGGCGAAGTGCAAAGCCGGGCTAAGGAGGGGGATGATGGGTCCAGAAAAAGTTGCAGGGAAGATTTGGCCAAGTCATTTCCTGTGGCTGACCTGTCTGGTCCATTTTGCGGAGCGGGAAATTAGAAACTCTGATTAGGAAGGAGAAAATACCGTAGCTCAAAACATAAGTGTCTGTCTGTGTGTCTGTCTGTCTTTCTATCTGCAAAGTCTAAATTGATGATGAAGAAAAAAGTCTTGCAGGTTTTAAATTGATCTACACTTCCAAGTGCACCTTCACAAGGACTAGATACTTGAAAATAAAAAAACATGTAATCCAAAATTCTCAGGGAGCCAAGCCTGGCTGTTAAGGCAGCCCTGTGTTGATTTTGTTTTAGCACAGAAGCTAACCTCCCAGTCCAGAAGACACGACAAACACTGATGTCACCATTCAAACACAGCAGCCAAAGTTTCCACTGGGCACAACAGTTAGACTCGAAAACACCCCTGACACTTTAAAAGAAATAAATCATGATTACAGCTAAGCTTTAATGGACCATAACCTGCTCTTCTGGCTGTTTTTTTTTTTAACCTCCCACCCCAAGTATAAATAACGTAAACCAGTAGGAAATAGATTTTCAGATCTTCCACTGATCTTCTAAGGGGGAAAGAATTTATGTGGTCCTGCCTGTGTGTCTCTGTGTGTTCTCCTAGCAGAAAAAAAAAAGAATAAGAGAGGACCTCAGCAGAAAGGAATGCTTTCCAGCCCCACAGAAAAACCTTCAGATGCTGTAGGTTAATTCCACGGTCCATATATGCCCATATATGTCTATCTGTGTATCTCGCACTCTTCAAACCATTTTTCCCCCAAATTCTGATTTTTCTGCCCCCTTTTTTCCCCTAGTTCCACTGACCGATCAACTGACTGTGCTGGAAAGAACTCATCCCATTGATCAGAGCAATGCTCCCCATAGGGACAGGGGCCAATTCAGGCGTCATGGCTGTGAGGTCAAAGGGGTAGAGCCTGGGTATTAATTGTGCGGTTTCAAAACTTCAGCAGTTTAGAGATGGGTGGACTTCAGCTCCCAGAATCCCCCAGTCAGCCTGCTTTAATTGGGGAGGACTTCAACTCCCAGAATCCTCCAGCCAGCCTGCTTTAAGAGGGGCGGACTTCAATTCCAAGAATCTCCCATCCATCTTGCTTTAATTGGGGAGGACTTCAACTCCCAGAATCCCCAAGCCAGGATGCTTTAAGAGGGGAGGACCTCAACTCCCAGAACCCCCCAGCCAGCTTGAATTAAGAGGGGTGGACTCCAACTCCCAGAATCCCCCAGCAAGTCAGGTTGGGCGTGGCGCCACTCTCCAGGGCAACGCCGTGGTGGCGTCATGAGGGGGCGTGGCACGTCCTGGTATTTGTGGCGGGCGGGCGGGCGGGCGGGCGGGGCGGAGCGGCGCAGGTCTCCAGGGCAACGGGCGCAGGGCGTTGTCGTCGTCATCCGGGGCCCGCGGGGCGCGTGACGTCACGGGGCGGGGCGCGCCCCGGTATTTGAGGGCGGGGCGGGCGCGGGCAGCGGCAGGAGCGGCAGGAGAGGCGCCGGGGCGGCCATGGCGGGCGCGACCACCATCGAGGCGGTGAAGCGCAAGATCCAGGTGCTGCAGCAGCACGCCGACGAGGCCGACGAGCGCGCCGAGCGGCTGCAGCGGGAGGCCGAGGCCGAGCGGCGCGCCCGCGAGCAGGTGGGCTGGGGGGACCCATAATCCCCCGCGCGGGGCCGGGGGGGGGCGAGCGAGAGGCTGGGGGCAGCTCTTCTCCCAGAATTCCCGTCCCCTCGAGGGCGGGGGGTCTTCCCAGAATGCCTTGGGGCTGGGCAAGCTGGGGGGGAGCTTAGAANCCTTGGGGCTAGTCAAGGTGGGGGGGAGCTTAGAAAAGGGGAGAGGTTTTCCCAGAATGCCTTGGGGCTGGGCAAGCTGGGGGGAGCTTAGAAAAGTGGGAGGGGGTTCCCAGAATGCTTTGGGGCTGGCAAAGCTGATGAGATGATGCTGGAAGAGGGGGGGACTTTTATCCAGAATCCCCTGTTGGAGAGCCTCAAAGGGATGAGGGGTTTCCCTGATGACTTTGCAGCTCGCCAAACTGATGGGGAGGCTTTAAAAGGGGGGGGGGAAAGGGGTTTCCCAGAATGCTTTGGGGGAGATGCTTTAAAGGGGGAGTGGGTTGTTTCCCATAATCCCCTGCCTGTAGCTATTCTCCTGCAGATGCTGTTGGTGACATCTCAAATTGATGGGGACCCAGTGAGGGAAGACAACCTGGGGGGGGGGCGCTACCCAGAATCCCCTGCGGTTGGCCTTGTGTTTAGAACAGGACTTGGCTGGTTGGGGGGATTCTGGGAGTTGAAGTCCACCCCTCTGAAAGTGGCCCTGGTTGTCATCCTTTTTTTCCTTAATCTTGGTTACTTCTGGAAGGAAACAGACTACAGGCTCCCAGCCTTTGCTAATGAAATGCTTCACCTTCCCAGCAATGTTGCCTCTGAGCATGGGAAGAGTGCCCATCTCCTGGTGTGCAGAACATGGTTGGAACTAGTGGGAAGCTTCATCCCACCAGGGGAGGCCGTGAGCAAGACAAGGAGAGCATCCTTTGCTGTATCGGATCCTTTCCCTTAGACTTTCTGCTGCATCCCCAAGGATCCTTGGGGATAGACCCTCCCTGTCCCTGGAGGTTCTCTTCCACCCATCTTTACTAGTAGCAGACTCTAATCTGGTTCCAAGATGCCTTTCCACCAGAAGCCTCAGGTAGCTGCTTCCTCCAATTACCTTGTCATCTTCCTGGCATCTGGTACACTGCCTTTGAAGCTGGAGGCTTGATCTACCTCTCCCCACCCACGCATGACTCAAGTTGGCTTGTCTGGAATAATAATTTACCCCTCCCTGTGTGTGTGGTCCCAGGCAGGTTGTACAACTAGTTGCTCTGCTAGGAGAGGGAAGACCCCCGTGCCTTAACCCCCTTCCGAAGTTGTGCACTGAGAGATCCAATCCTGATAGAAATCAAATTTTTAATATACATTTAGTCAGCAATGTCTTCATTTGCTTCCTTTGGTGTGGAGCAGCTGTCTCTTTCCGCTGCCCCACCCCAGTCTGGCCTCAGGCCTCCAAAACATATTTAACCTGAGTTTAATATTTTTTTTTCCTCCTTGCCTATGAAACCCCGGGGATCTAGTATATATCCCTTTTAAAAAAAAAAAAGTGAAATAACTTGAGTTTACAGCAGGATTGGGGGGGTGGAGGGGGGCTGGATAGCAGAAGAAGCCAGATCCCTTGCAGGAGAGAGAGAAAGGGAGATCTCCCCCCCCCAAAGGATCAGAGTTTAGATGGGGGACCGTGCAGGGAGGAACGGTGGATGGATGGGTGATCTTGGCTTTTGCTAAAAGGGATCAGGTAGACAGTGAGGCTCGGCTGCGGAAGGGCGAGACGGAGAGATTAAAAACAGGAAGATGTCCCATTAAGCCCTCTCAACCCAGGCAGTAAAATGGAATCGGATTAAGGAAGAAGTAAAAAAGAAAAAAAAAAGGGGGGGATCTTTTTATCCTTAGTGCTGGGAAGCTGAAATTAAAAAAAGATTTTTACGACATCTGGAGGCCTGCGACAGGGAAGGAATCGATGATAGCTTGCTTATGCAAAAGGGGGGGCCTCTTGGGCGTGCAAAGCCGGGAAGGAGCGTGCAAGGCTGAGCGTTTTTTTCCTGGCTGTACCAATGGAGCATCTGTCTTTACCCCCCCCCCCCAAATTCAGAAT